GCTTTCTAGAGCAGATGGAATGTAAGTCGAACTTTGAGAAACAGGTAAGGATTCGTCAGGTTTAGAAGTAGGACAAGTCTGGGCGCGGTGGCTAACACCTGTAATCCCAGCACTTTGGAGGCCGAGGCGGGTGGATCACTTGAGTTCAGGAGTTCGAGACCAGCCTGGCCAACGTGGTGAAACCCTGTCTCTACTGAAAATACAAAAAATTAGCCTGGTCTGCAGGTGGGCACCTGTAATCCCAGCTACTCAGGAGGCTGAAGCAGGAGAATCGCTTGAACCCAGGAGGTGGAAATTACAGTGAGCCGAGATGGGGCCATTGAACTCCAGCTAGGGCAACAAGAGTGAAACTCCGTCTCAAAAAAAAAAAAAAAAAAAAAGTAGGACAAAAATATTTGGTTAAAGGAAACAGGATGAGAATAAGAGCATAGAGTTTTGGGGAGCTGCCAGTTGTTTATTGTAGTTGCAATGGAGGGTGCTTGTGTGGTGGGGACAGGTTAGATGAGAGAGAAGCTCTGTCCTCAGCTATAGAAAGCTACTTATCAGATTTGCATTTTTCAGAGATCCTCTGATGGGGGTGTGGAGAACAGATTTGAGACAGGAAGTCGGGTTAGAAGTCTGTTACAGTAATGCAAGTTAAAAATGTTAGGATGCAGATGAATTAGGAAGGAGGGGAACTAACAGGGCCATGAGGAACTAACAGGGCATAGTGATTCTGTGTTGCGTGAATGAAGGTTGGTGAGAGAGGCAGGGTCAAGGATGACTTGATTTTTGGCTTGGATACCTACATGGATGATAGTGCCATTTTCTAAGTTGTTAATACATGGGAAGATTGGGTTGGGTCACACTGGGGAGGTCAGATAGTTTTGCATATACTGAGTTTAAAGGGCATATAAACAAGAGTGTCCATTTGACAGTTGGATTTACAGCCCTGAGCTGGGAGATCTGGGAGAGGGTGACCTAGCAAGAACTTACAGAGTAGAAGGAAGGCAGGGTGGAGCTTATAGAAAGTAGGTGGTGCTTAGATGGGAGATGGAGAGCAGCTAGGAGAGGTAGGAAGAAAACTAGGAGAGCATTACCATACAGAAGTCCATGGAAGAGGGAGTTCAAAGGAAGAAGACATTGATTGTATAGTGAAAAAAAAAAAAAAATAAGAAAACTGTACATCATGTACATCATCTTAGCAAAAAGAGGTCCTTTGTGAATCAAGAATTTCTTGCACTCTGAAGTAATCTCCTCCCTCTAAGAAAGTTTTAATGACCCCTAAACTCTGCATATTATATGGGTAGTAAAAGGAAAGTACAATTTTAATTTCATTTAAGAAAGCATGAATAAAGTAAGGGTTCTTTTTTTTTCTTTTTCTTTTTGAGATGGAGTCTCACTCTGTCGCCAAGGCTGGAGTGCAGTGGCGCTATCTCAGGTCACTGCAGCCTCCACCTCCTGGGTTCAAGTGATTCTCCTACCTCAGCCTCCTGAGTAGCTAGGAACTACAGGCTGGGCCACAATGCCCAGCTAATTTTTGTGTTTTTAGTAGAGATGGGTTTTCACCATGTTGGCTAGGCTGGTCTTGAACTCCTGACCTCAAGTGATCCTCCCACCTCGGCTTCCCAAAGTGCTGGGATTACAGGTGTGAGCCCCCACACATGGCCTCCTGTTTTTTTTTTTTTTTTGGAGACGAAGTCTCGCTCTGTCGCCCAGGCTGGAGTGCAGTGGCCGGATCTCAGCTCACTGCAAGCTCCGCCTCCCGGGTTCACGCCATTCTCCTGCCTCAGCCTCCCGAGTATCCGGGACTACAGGCGCCCGCCACCGCGCCCGGCTAGTTTTTTGTATTTTTTAGTAGAGACGGGGTTTCACCATGTTAGCCAGGATGGTCTCGATCTCCTGACCTCGTGATCCGCCTGTCTCGGCCTCCCAAAGTGCAGGGATTACAGGCTTGAGCCACCGCGCCCGGCCGTGTGTTTTTTTTTTTTTTTTTGGAGACAGAATCTCGCTCCATCACCCAGGCTGTAGTACAGTGGCACAATCTCAGCTCACTGCAACCTCCGCCGCCTGGGTTCAGGCAATTCTTTTGCCTCAGCCTCCCGAGTAGCTGGGACTACAGGCGTGTGCCACCACGCCCAGCTAACTTTTGTATTTTTAGTAGAGATGTGGTTTCATCAGGTTGGCCAGAATGGTCACTCCACCTAGACTTCAAAGGATGTATTGGACAACCTGAGGGCCCAGGCGGACTTGTTGCAGAGGCGGAGCCACTGTGCAGAGCCCCTACTAGGACAGTGCTTAATGGAGCCCTGGGAGTGGGCTAGATCCTGAGACCCCAGAACTGAAGGGTCAGCATTATGCAGCTCTCACCTGGGAAAGCTACAGATACAAGACTTTCAATCTGTGAGGGCTTCTGGGGGGACTGAGTGCAGCAAAGCCATAGAAGCAGGGCTGCTTGAGGCCTTGGGAGCCCAACTACTGTTCCAGTATGCCAGGATGTGGGATGTGGAAGCAAAGATTATTCTTCAGCTTTAAGACTTAATGTAGGCCAGGCACGGTGGCTCACGCCCGTAATCCCAGCATTTTGGGAGGCCGAGGCGAGTGAACACCTGAGATCAGGAGTTCGAGACCAGCCTCAACATGGAGAAACCCGGTCTCTACTAAAAACACAGAATTAGCTGGGCATGGTGGTGCATGCCTGTAATCCCAGCTACTCAGGAGGCTGAGGCAAGAGAATTGCTTGAACCTGGGAGACGGAGGTTACAGTGAGCCGAGATCACGCCATTGCACTCCAGCCTGTGCAACAAGAGCGAAACTCCGTCTCAAAAAAAAAAAAAAGAAAGAAAAAAGACTTAATGTTGTTTGCACTTTTGGATTTTGGACTTTCTTGGAACCACTTATTCCTTTCTTCTTGCCTAGTTTTCCCTTTGGGAATGGGAATGTTTATCCTGTGCCTGTCCCACCGTTGTATTTTGGAAGCATGTAACTCATTAATTTCACAGACAAATTCCTCCTGAGAGGAATTTGAATCAGGATGAATTGTGCCTTGAGTCTTATCTGTTTCTGATTTAGTTGAGACTCTGGGCTTGGACTTTTGAGTTGATCCTGGAAAGAGTTAAAACTTTTAGGTGCTATTGGGATGAAATTAATGTATTTTGTATGTGAGAAGAACGTGCATTTGGAGGCTATGGGCAGAATGCTGTGGTTTGAATGTCCCCTTCAAAACTAATGTTGAAACGTAATTGCCATGGGGACAGTATTAAGAGGTGGAACTCTTAAGAGGTGATTACGCCATGAGGATTCTACCCTCATGAGTGGATAATGTGATTTTACAGGAGTGGGCTCCTTATCATGAGAGTGGGCTGTTAGAAGAGTGAATTCAGTCCTCTCTTGCCGTTGCTTTTGCTTACACTCTCATGCCCTTCTGCCTTCCACCATGGGATGATGCAGCCTGAAGACCATCACCATATACCAGCCCCTTAATCTTAGACTTTCTAGTCTCCAGAACTGTAAGAAATTAATCTCTGTTCTTTATAAATTACCCAGTCTCAGGTATTCTGTTACAGCAACACAAAACAGACTAAGACAAACCTAAGAGAAAGGAGAAAATATTGCCACCATTTCTTACCATGTTGTCTTACCTCTTACAGCACCATTTCAGAACAGCGAAGGAGAACTGTTAATTAGTTTACATCTTTCTTTCACTTCATATTTCTCTCTTTTTTTTTAAATTTGGGGACAGAATCTGACTTTGTTACCTAGGCTGTAGTGCAATGGCATGATATTGGCTCACTGCCACCTCCGCCTCCTGGGTTCAAGTGTTTTTCCTGCCTCAGCCTCCCAAGTAGCTGGGATTACAGGTGCGTGCCACCACACCTGGGTAATTTTTGTATTTTTAGTAGATGCAGGGTTTCACCATGTTGGCCAGGCTGGTCTTCAACTCCCAACCTCAGGTGATCTGCCTGCCTCAGCCTCCCGTAGTGCTAGGATTACAGGCGTGAGCCACCATGTCCGGCTCCGTATTTCTTGACTGTGTAAATTAATCTTGATTCTCTGTGCTGCCTTCACACACATACTCTCTCACACTCACGTGCACACATGGAAGTGTGAGGGAGTATACCAACCATTGTCTAATAAGATAGGCCTTAACTTCTCTTTCCATAATTCCTGCATGAGACCTGCCTCCATGTAGCCATGAATGAAAATTTATTTTAAATGTTCATTAACATTATTGAAAGAGATATTTTATGGTTTGAATCTGTTGATAAGCTCTACTTGGAAAGCAATTGGTTTAAAGTCCATTGTAATTTTCAGTGCAATGTGTTTCCTTCTGGTTCCAGGTGATTTTAAAGTCTTTATTGTCCCAATGGTGTGTTCAAACAGACTTTTATATTAATTAGTATATAATATTTCATGTTACTTTCAAAAACGACATTTAGTTTCATTTTAAATACTCTGATGTTTTTTGAATGTGCATATTCTTCAACACAAGTTAGTATGTATCTTTATGTAACTTACATGGGAGTTTATTCACTTAAAAAAAAGTTTTGTTGGCCATTCACAGTGGCTTACCTTTGTAATCTCCCAGCACTTTCGGAGGCTGAGGTGGGTGGATCACCTGAGATCAAGAGCTTAAGACTAGCCTGGCCAACATGTCAAAACCGTGTTTCTACTAAAAATACAAAAATTAGCCGGGCATGGTGGGCACGTGTAATCCCAGCTACTTGGGAGGCTGAGGCAGGAGAATTCTTGAACCCGGGAGGCAAAGGTTGCAGTGAGCCAAGATCATGCCACTGTACTCCAGACTGGGCGATAGAGTGAGACTCCGTCTCAAAAAAAAAAAAGTGTTGTTGTTTCCAGCTTGTATTAAAGGCAGAAAAATACAGTTTTTAGCTCAATGAAGTGGAAGTGATATAATGGTTTGATTTTTGTTGTGTGTATATTTGATTTACTTTCACTATTCTAGTTTTTATATATTTTGTATGTAAAATATTCAAACTAGTTTTCTACTTCTGGTTTAGGTTCAACCTTAAAGTGCAATTGCAGATTCTAGCAAGCTTCATGCTCACTGGCGTTTCTGGAGGTGCAAAGTATGCTCAGAATGGACAACTTTTTGGTCGCTTTAAGCTTACTGAAACACTTTCTGAAGATACTTTGGCTGGACGACTGGTGATGACCAAAGTCAATGCTGTTTATTTATTACCAGTCCCTAAACAGAAGTTAGGACAGACCCAGGGAACCAAAGAGAAGGTTTATGAAGCTACTATTGAAGAAAAAACAAAGGAATATATATTTTTAAGGCTATCTAGGGAATGCTGTGAAGAACTTAATCTTCGGCCTGACTGTGACACACAGGTATGTTTTAAGGTTGCAGTTTAACCAAAGTGGCCTGTAGCCTCATTATCGGCTCATAGTCTTCCTCTGGCTTAGTTTTTCTTTTGCCATAAACGAAAGCAAAGCTGACTTTGAAGTCTACGGTGGTAGGTTGAGAATTGGACGTGTAGCAACTCCCAGAGAAAAGTGATTCTTTTAAATTTAAGTAACATTTGGAATGTTCTAGTGTTATACAAGGTTGAGCTTTCTGATTAGAGTTTTAAATCAGTAATGGAAGAAAAGATGAAAAGAAATTAAGCTACCTCCTGGGACCTCTCTCATCTGCAGTTGTATCTGTTCCTGTTCTCTCTATCTTTATGGGGTTTTAGGTGAATTATGTCTTCAGTCTGCCATATTTAACTGGAAGATTAATCTTTTTTTCTTTGTAAACATAAAACTTGGTGAATATTATTTATTCATTGCAAATTGATAGAGTGTCATAGGGCTAATCATCTCTCACGACTGGATACTTCACATGTTCGGATTTTTTGCTAATGTATTTTCATGCGAATGGTAGAGTCAAGTAGCCTTTATCTAGAGATTAGGTAACTTATAAATATGTCTGTTTCTTAATATGTAAAATGATGTTAATAATAGTATATATTATCATTGGTACTATGAAATGAGATAATCCATAGTAAAGTACTTGTTACAGTGCCTGGTTATAAATGAACAAAGCAAATATTCATCGTAATTATGGTTAGACTATGATTATACTTTGAAAGAATCTCTGCACTTATTGTCCCAAACAGATTCCTCCCAAAGTATTCTAGCGAGCTGCCAGCATTGATGTTTGCTTTCATGAGGTTTTTTAAAAAATTCATTTTGTGTTTCAGGTTGAACTTCAGTTTCAGTTAAATCGATTACCCCTCTGTGAAATGCACTATGCACTAGACAGGATCAAGGACAATGGGGTTTTGTTTCCAGACATCAGTATGACTCCCACCATACCGTGGAGTCCTAACAGGTACACTAAGGCGTTGTCTTATTAAAGGAAGGTTAATATTAAATTGAATATCTGTATAAGATAATTCAAGCATAGTTTTATAAGAAAGTTTGCCTTTGCTTTTCAGGAGACATTAGTTTAGAAAGAGAGTAAAAGAACACTTAAAATGAAACATTGGAGGTTCATCATCTATTTACTTTTTCTTGGAGTCTAAATGAATTCCACTGCTTTTCTCAACAGCCTTAATTTGATAGGATGCCAAGCAATTTAGGAATATTTCCAAGTAGAAGTTGAATGGGGAAATTAGGGCCTTTCTGAAGTGGTTCCAGTAGTTAATTTAAAACAATTTTTATTTATTTAGAGTTAGGGTCTTGCTCTGTCACCCAGGCTGAAGTGTAGTGGCATGATCATTGCTCACTACAGCCTTGCACTCCTGGGCTCAAGCAACTCTCCTGCCTCAGCCTCTGAGTGACTAGGATTTTAGACACATACCATTGTGTCTGGCTGATTAAAAAAATTTTTTTTGTAGGCAGGGGTCTTGCTATCTTGTCCATGCTGGTCTCGAAATCTGGCCTCAAGTGACCTTCCTGCCTTGGCTTCCCGAAGTTCTGGGATGTGAGCTACTGCACCTGTCCTAATTTAAAATACTTTTTAAAGATAGGTGAGAGTTTTATAAATGAGCAAAATGGACAAATTACAATAGAAGAAACTGCTTCAGAAACTTCTGTCCAGTTAATGGTCATATAAATATTGTTCTGCCTAAATTTTTTTGGGGGAAGAAGGTACTTCCATTTTGTTATAAGCATGGATGACTGAGAGCTGTATGCCTGTATCTGCCTTTTCATCTCTTCACTGGGTTTTATGCCCTTAGTGCCTGCCCATGCTCAACTCACAACACCTTTTTTTCTTTTTTAATCTCAGTGGCTCTACAAAATAGAAGTTTATTTATCACTTTCAATTTAATCATGGTAGGGTGGCCCTTTCCATGACTGATGGAGCCTCTGGGATCTTCAGTGAGTGGTTTCCAGGGTCACCCTGGGTGTTGACATTCAGCTGACTGACGGGGGAAGAGTGAGCACAAAGGGTCGTGTGGGAAGCTTTTATGGGCCAGGCCTAGAAGTGGCATATATCACTTCCCTCACATTCCATTTCTTATGGTCGTAAAAGCAGAACAACACGAAATACGCCTTACAACACAAGGCCTCAGTCATTTTTCCCTTGTTTTGCTTACTCTTACTGTGCTGTCCCCCTCTGTTCTTTTTACTGCCAAAATTCTTGAGAGGGAATAGTCTGTGTATTTCCAGTATTCTTTCTTACTCACTCTGTAACCTCTGTTTTCCTCTTGTGTGCTATCCTGAAAGTGATTGGTGATCTACTAATTGTAAAAATCCAGTGACATCTCCTCAGTTCTCTTTGGATTCAGCTCCTCTTCATGCTTCCTTTTCTTTTCTTTCTCAGAGCCAGTGCTGCTTTTAGACCTGGAGTATTTCAGTAGCTTTGCCGTCTGTGGCTGTGTTTTCTGGCTCATCTCAAATATTTCTCCTAGAGTTAGTTTTCTGAAATAATCATGTCATTTCACTGCTCACAAATCTCTGATGGCTTCTCCTCGATACGTAGATAAAGGGTGAGCAGTCTAAGCCGAAGCGCCCGTGTATGGCCTCGTTGACTGTGCTTTCCTGCGGTATCCTTTCAGATTTCTTTTATTTTTTTCTGCTTGACACTCCTTTTCTCCCTCTAAATCCCCATGTTTTAGTAATATTGAATTACCTTGAAGTTTGTTTAATTTGCCATATACTTATTTGCCTCCTTATCTTTCTGTTATTCTTCTTAAAAAGTTTTTAATTGTGGTAAAATCCACATAACGTAAAATGTACCCTCTTTACCATTTTAAATGTACAATTCCATAGTGTTAAATATATTCACATTGTTGTGCAATCTCCAGAACTTTTTTGTCTTGCAAAACTGATGCTGTACACCCATCAGACAACTCCGCATTTCTCCTTTCCTGCAGCCTTGCCGCCTCTTTAAGTGATTTTTTCTCTCATATAATCTTTGCCCAATGTTAGTTCACTGAAGAGCTCTCTGTCCTTTAATATTTAGTCCAGCTCGTATGCTCTGGATTAAAGGGTCAGCAGATGAACCTGACCCTTTCATGTCAATATTTTAACAACTATTTATTGAGTGCCTGACATGTACTAGGTTCGGTTTTGTGCTTTAAAGTATAATTTCTCTAAATTTGTCAATTCATGTACGTTTCTAGACTGTTTTTCTTGGTAAACTCTGAACTTTGTACAGAAAGAGACCATGTCTTATTTTTCTTCGAATACCCATAGAGTTTTACACATTATTCATATTCAGCACATTTAAGTTAATAAGAATTTCAAGTTTAAAGAAGAAAAGTTTCAATTGTGAGGCCATACCAGTAAGCTTGTAGGCACATTTACTGGATATGCTCACTTCTGAAAATTATATTGTGTATAACATAGTATATTTAAATACTACTGACTGTAAGTTTTAGCTGCAAAAGTAAGCAAACTTTCAAGCAAGAAAATATTTTTATACCACTGTAATTTAAATAGCAATTAAAAGGTATCTGGGTCTAGGAACATACTGAGTTGTGGTCATGGGCTCACACCTGTAATCCTAGCACTTTGGGAGGCCGAGGTGGGAGGATTGCTTAAGCTCAGGAGTTAGAGTCCAGCCTTAGCAATATAGTGAGACCCCCATCTCTATACATAAATAAAGAAATAAGTAAAATTAAAATTACCTGGGTGTGGTGGCACACGCCTGTAGTCTCAGCTAGGTAGGAGGCTGAGGTGGGAATATTGCTTGAGCCTAATAGTTTGAGGTTGCAGTGAGCCACAATTGTGCCAGAATATATTTTCTGGACTAGTGTAGAATATAGATAGATAAATGAAATTGAGAAATTGTTCTTGAGCATATAGTCTGTAAATTAGTTATAACTACATTAGGTCAGGGGAAGAAAGGACTTCGAATTAGTTTAGCTCTGGGAATGAAATAAAGTATTTCATTCAGAATAAACTTGAGATTTTATATTGTTTTAAATTTTGAAAATCTGAAGTTCCTCTTAGCATGTATATTGTAAATCTTCTTTCCCTTATTAAGTGGACAGTTCGATAAATAAATACAGTTTGTTCCATTCACTGGCTTTCTATAAATGTTCATCATGATATCTATCTCATTCTTAAGTTCATGAAAGTCCCCAGATTTGAAAGATGAGAGGGTATTTTAAGAACTTTTTGCTTTAAAAGTGTGTACTAGTCAAGTAATATCTCATTTTTCTGTAATCTCTAGAAAATATTGTAGTAACAGAAGCTAACCTTAATTGAACTTTTGTTGCTCAATTATTTTTCTAAACAGCTTTACATGTATTATCCCACTTGATCTTTAAAATAACCATCTGACGCAAATGTCATTATCTTCATGCACAGATAAAGGAACCATTGGGGACAGGTATCATAGAATCATAGTAGTCAGGTATAGATTCAGTTAGCAGTTTACTGAACTGATTGTGACTTTAAAAGGTGGAGTTATCAGCCTAGAGATACATGGTCCAGGACTGTGCAGGAGCTCTGCAGGGCCATCAAGGACAGACACCTCCCCCTCCTTTCTACCATGTAGGGCATGTTTGTTTTCTTCCTGATGTGTTTTGCCTCATGCAAAATATAAGATGATTGCTGTAGTTTATTTACCATAAGCTTTTTCTGGTCAGCTGAGGAAGGAAGTGATGAGCAAGAAGGGCTCTTTTTAGTTAAAAATACATATATATAAAATAAGTGAGGCTTTGTTTTTATTTTATTGTGTATGGAAGTCCTTCTGAGGACTTCCTCCCCCATCTAATTGACCAGAATTGGGTCTATAGCACAGGAGGCTGGGAGATGGAGCGTTATAGCTGACTAGGCTCAACAGTAAAGGAAGGCAGGGGAGAAGGCTGCTCTGATGGTTTTAGGGTAACCATTCCACCCAGTGCTACATGCAGTAGGTCTGGACTTAGCCATCACCTAAAGCAGTTTTCTCATTTATAGAAGATGGAAAATTGCTGGATACTGGCAGAATTATGAATAAATAAGCCAGTTAATGCTGAGGGACTCTGAAATAAAATGTTTGGGGTTTAGCAAATGGCAAATTTCAGAAAAATATTGGCATGATTACATGGTCAAAATTTGTTTTCTAAAGTTTTACATTTTTTAAGGAGAATTTTGTTGGTTTGAGATTATATGTCATAATTTAACAGTTATTTTATACATATTTGTAGAGGTGAGGTCTTGCTATGTTGCTCAGGGTAGTCTTGAACTGCTGATCTCAAATGACATTCCTACCTTGGCCTCCCAAAATTCTGGGATTATAGGTATGAGCCACCACGCCTGGCTAGGTTATAATTTCTTGAAAACTGAAAGTGTTAAGATTTTTCAAAAATAACCAGCTTCTGATTTAAGTACGATATAGCCTCACAGAGAGAATTTTCCTGTCTAAACTCTGTCCTCTATTTCAGGGTTATTTTGCAGGCACTTTTATTTTAAATTTTCTAAGAGTTTCTTTACACACCCTTACTATTTTGATTCACATCCCTCTCATTTTTACCATAGTTGTTGCAATGTATAGTATTTTAACTGTAGTTGTGAGAAAAAATGCTGTTGATTCTCCACTCAGTTTGATCTGTTGCAGCATCTGCTGTCCATTTAAATCTTCGAAACTTAGCCAAGTCATAGAAGGGGCACTAGTAAGATAGATCTCATTACAGTAGCCATCTGTGCGACTGTGACAGGTGTTTTCTACGCTGACCAGTATGATATGTATATTATTTGTGTGTGTGTGTGCAAAAATATTAAAAAACATTTCATTTTGTTTGGCTTTTTATGCCTTTTTATAAGACCTAATCTTTTCTACATTAAGATCTTTGTAAAAATTAGTATCTCTTAACCAGGGACATATAGGTTTGTTCTTTTCCTCTTGTTTTAAACCTTGCCAGCAGATCTTTTAAATAATTAGAATTTGAAATTCAGGCCGGGCGCGGTGGCTCAAGCCTGTAATCCCAGCACTTTGGGAGGCCGAGACGGGCAGATCACGAGGTCAGGAGATCGAGAGACGATCCCGGCTAACACGGTGAAACCCCGTCTCTACTAAAAAATACAAAAAAAAATAGCCGGGCAAGGTGGCGGGCGCCTGTAGTCCCAGCTACTCGGGAGGCTGAGGCAGGAGAATGGCGTAAACCCGGGAGGCGGAGCTTGCAGTGAGCTGAGATCCGGCCACTGCACTCCAGCCTGGGTGACAGAGCAAGACTCCGTCTCAAAAAAAAAAAAAAGAATTTGAAATTCAGATCGTTTTCCTTTTGCATTTCATTTGTTATGCAAAAAAAAAGTACTACTTCGTTAATATCAGTAAAAAGTTTTATGATGCTTTTTGTAACAGAGGGAAATTACATTTTTGAAACATTGCCATTTCTACTTAAAGACCTGGCAGCAGCTAGATTCGAAGTATGTGATTTCCTTAGATAAGTTACCAAAATCTTTTTGTATGTAGAATAGGACAAGATAAAATTAATTTTGATTTACATGTTAAAACACTCTACACTGACTCTGTTGGGTAACTTTCTAAAAAGTAGCTTTAGAATAAGCATTTGTTTTTATAGATGCTGTGCTATTTCAGTGGTTTTAATGGTTCACTGAAATTCAGGATACTCTTGTGTTGTGTTCTGTTTATTAACAAGATGCATATGTTTAAAATAAATTTTTGTTTTCCATAGACAATGGGATGAACAGTTGGATCCTCGACTAAATGCAAAACAGAAAGAGGCTGTTCTGGCCATTACCACTCCACTTGCAATCCAGCTGCCGCCTGTGCTTATCATCGGACCCTATGGGACAGGCAAAACGTTCACTCTAGCTCAGGCTGTCAAACATATTCTGCAGCAACAGGAGACTAGGTGAGAGGGTGGGAAGCGTGCTCATATTTCCCTGGTAGGGTACTACCTCTGTTCTTGTTTTAAATGCAAAATGAGGGCTAGCAAGACAGTTTTCATGCAGCTCTTAAACATGAAAAAGAAAAGGAAAAGCCGTAAATCCAAACCCCAGAGCACTAAAAATTTGAATTCTCTTAAAACATACTGTTTTTAAAATTGGTAGTATAGATAGTAAGTTTTAAAATAGTTTTTAAATAGCCATCAGAGCAAGTTTGCTATGGAATTGTGATATCTGTTAGAGCCAAAAGACTTGGGTTTAAACATATGTATATATATTTTATATGATAGATTTAAAAATAATTTTGGGGTACTTCCTTTTTAACTTAATTTCCTAAAGGTATCACTGAATAGTGCTAGGGATTACTGAGTAGGATGAGGGAATTGTATAATGTTAGGATGGCCACTGCTTTTTTTTTTCGGTATTATACTGCTTGAATAGTTTTGTGTTTTATCATTCTTTTTATTTGCACCATTTATTTCAGCAGGATTCTCATTTGCACCCATTCTAATAGTGCTGCTGATCTCTACATAAAGGATTATTTACATCCATATGTAGAAGCAGGCAATCCCCAGGCAAGACCTCTCAGGTATTTTTTTTAAGGCTTATTATGTATCTGTATCATACTTTATTATTCTTAAGAAAAGGTGTCTGTAAAGATTTTAGTAACTTTGGAAATACCAAAGTCTTTAACTGTGCATTGACATTTAGAGGTTATGTCTTTTGAAGAAACTGTTTAAATTAAGGAAAAATGTAAAAATCTTTGACTATTCATTTCTTAAACATTAAGTAAGAGAAAGACATCCTTTTTTAAGTTTTGTGTGTAAAGTGTTGTTTCAACCTGAGTAGATTTTGATATGTACCTCTAAAAGCTAGTATGATGAAATAACATAATATGATAATTTAAATTAAATCTAGTTCAGTTAAAATTCTAGTATATTTTGCATGGCAGATTAGTCATGCAGTGGACAGTTCTTTATGAAAATAAAATTTTGGCTGTGATGCAGGTAATTTCATAGAAGCTACACATTAAACATGAAATACTGAAATGATTTCTGCAACAAAATGTACTTGACTGGTATTTAACAACTTTTGCTATCATTTAAGTGTCAAAGAAAATTTAAGGTTGATATAGAAAGGTCCTCTGAGTATATATGAACATGAAATGTACTTAAATATAGGATGTGGGGGAATAGAAATCCTTTTCTTCAGAAAACAATAAAGAATCATCAAATTGTTGTTTATTATACCATTTGCTTTCATTGTTATATGGATTAATGTTCAGTTTTGCCATTTTACAAACTAATATGTCATGCCCTAGGTTGTTTGAATACAGTTGTTTATAAATTAATTTCTAACTGCACTTTTGAATCATTAAGTCACTAACTTTTTATTTCTACTAGAGCTCAAGCATGGGAAATGAAATTATGTTATTTAATTCTTCAGTAATCATAACCAAAGCTGTTTGAATGATCTTAGAATTCCATTAAAAAAAAAAAAGAGGAAAAAAGTGGTGTGACCTATTAACACAGGTTTTTTTTGCCATATTTTATTTTCACTCTGGAAGATTAAGAAGCAGTAATTATTTTAAATAGAATCTGGTTGTATTTAATAAGAAAATATTACATATATACAATCATTATCACTATAAATGAAAACATGGTATTTATTGAAGGATACATTCATCAATAAATAGTTTGATTCAGAATCTAATCTCTTCCAGCTCATAAGTGAAAGTTGAGTAGTTACCTTTTTTGCTATAGGTATTTTTACTCTAATGATATAAGTGGTTTGTTTTGTTCACTTATATTGTTGGTAGAGTGCGCATGTGTGTTCCATAGGAAGTGTGACCTCAGTTATCATGGTGTACTTGGTGTGAAAACAGTGGGGTAAAGCCCACTCAAATCTTGGTTGACTTAGCATAGGCTATTTGACATTTGGGGCTGTAGAGCTGTTGCTGATGAACACTAAATGCGTCACTCAACTAGCTTATATTTAGCTTTTTCCATGTAAAATTATTTTTTGGAGGTTATAATCCAACATGTGGTGCCTCTCGATATGCAGAATAAGAAGTTATGTTCAGTAGGGTACATGTATCATTGTGGCCCAAATATTGAAACTTGCCCTCTATCAGAAATTCTCACCTCTCTGTAAGTCTCAAAAGTGGTTCAACCCAAGATGGAAAAACATTTATAAATATATTCAAATGTAAACTTCATGTGGTTTCATTTAGTAAATGGAACAAAGTAAGAAAAAGTCTGACTTCCCAAATATTTGCTTTATGTAGTCCTACATTTTCACCATAGTTTTTCTCTTTGGGAAAGGTGTTAACTTGCAAATGTATTTCCTCAGAGTATTTATGCATTGAATTGTTAAGATTTATTAGCACTATCTAATATTACATTAACTCAGATTAATTGATAATTTTCCTGATAGACAACAAACATAGGAGGCATGTGAAATGGAATAGAGAAGATTAGAATGACTGAGTGCTGTGGGAAGATTAGCTTTATCTGAATTGTCCCAGGATGCAGAGGAAAGAACACAAGAGGGCACTAAGTGTCTGCTCATGACCATGAAGATGGTTGTCTCTAGGGAGAAAGGCTCATGAAGGGTTTGCTGTCTTCATGATATAGTCTGGAACAGGCCCTGGAAAGTGCTATAGTGTGAAAATAGTCAAAACATTACATAGTGAATACAGTAGTAAATGTGTTTAAATATACATACTTATGATTAAAATTTGTAAAACTCTTTTAGTTGCCAGGAGTTGAGCTGAACTTAAAATATTTGGAGATGGAGATTTTAGAAACCATTTTAGATCCTGCTTAGTTTCAGTTTTTACTTGTTACTTCACTAGAACTAGAAGATTTTAAAATGGAATAGAGGGGAAAACACAGTTTATTTTTGTGTGTGGTTTTCAAGATCAGTATCTGGTTCTGACAGAGTTATGACTTTGCAGATAGGGGTCATCTATGGAGGGGTGCATTTCCTCCTTTCTGGGAAAATGGAAGGTAATTGTTGTTTTATATTGATCTTCAAAGAAGCATATTCTTCTGTGATCAGGTCATTCTTATTCATAGTATTTTAAGTAATGACATTTTGGGGATTATTTGTTGTGTATAAATTTACTACATGAATAAAATTAGTGAATTAAAATTATATATTACCAGACTCTCTCTTATAATTCATGTGGGATATGTGGATTGATTTCTTTCTGGAAAATATGTAAATTTCTTAATTGGTATTATATTTTATACTGTGAATTTGAAATTGTCTTGTTACTGTCAATTCTCCAATTTAAAAAAATGTTAGCTGTGTTTTAAATAATCTTTTACACAGTGTCTAACTTAAATGTTGCACAAAATGAAAGTGCAGAGAATATTTTAAAATCTTTTAAAAGTTGGGACTAGAATATTATACTTTCAAGAAAATTGGCTCAGCGGTCAAGCTTTGTATTCTTACTAGCTTCAACTTGAGGTAACTTTCCAAGGTAAATGTGAAAAAGTCAGCAGTGAGACTTAGAACTTTAATTTCTTTCTTTTTTTTTTTTTTTCCTTTGAGGAAAAAACAGGTGCTTGGAGTTAGTTGATGATATTAGGCCGTTTTTATATTGCTTTAAAAAAATACCTGAGACTAGGTGACTTATAAAGAAAAGAGGTTTAGTTGGCTCATGGTTCTGCAGGCTTTATAGAAAGCATGGTGCTGGCATCTGCTCAGCTTCTAGGGAGGCCTCAGGAAGCTACAGTCATGGTGGAAGGCAAAGGGGGAGTAGGATGTCACATGGTGAAATCAGGGGCGAGTGAGTGTGCGTGTGGGAGGTGCCATATACTTTTAAGATCAGATTTCAGAGCAAAAGCTCACTTATCACCAAGGGGATGGCCCAAGCCCCTCATGAGGGATCTGCCCCCATGATTCAGACACCTCCCACTGGGCCCTACCTCCAACATTGGGGATTCCATTTCAACTTGAGATTTTGATGGGAACAAATATCCATACTGTATAAATGAATAATTTGAAAAACCACCTTTTTTTTTTTTCCTTCAATTTTACAATGAAATACTCATTGGAACTCAGAGGTGAGGTCTTGGCTGGAGAGAGAAAATGTGTGAGTCACTAGGGTATTGGTGGTGATTGAAGCGTGGGCATGGATGAGATTGTCAGGGGAGAGGAGGGCTGGAGAGTTAGAAGGGAATCAGAGAAAGCTTGAGTCATGGAAGCTGAGGGGAGAGTTCCTGGGAGGGAGCAGCAGCGGAACTTTGCATGCTGCCAAGTCAGGTAACTCGATGGGCCTGGAAACATCCGTGTGATTTAGTGATGTGGAAGTTGTTTATGTCCCTTGATTAGATGGAAGGTAAGCCATGTTGAATGAGTAGAGGAGTGAGTAGGAGGTTGGTAACTGGAGAGGACAATCTAGATAATACTTCTAAAAAGAAGCCTGGCTGTGAAAGGAGGGGAGAGGTTGGACAGTGACTGGGAGAATATGAGAATTTAAGTAAAGTTTCTTTTTAAACAAGAGAAACTAGAGAATTTTAATTTTAAAAAGCCACCTATAAGTGAGAAGTTAAATTCAAATATTGGTAATTATTTTCCCCATAATGATTCAAATAATTAGCTTTTGTTTTAGATTAGTATTTATGTTTATTAAAGGAAATCACATGTATACACTATTACAAAAGGTCATGTTGTATTTAAAGTTGAGAGCAAAAAAAAATTTTTTTTTTCAATTAACCTAGCCACTGTTCACCAAGTATCATTCCCAAGGGAATTTTTGACTTTTTTAGCAGTTTCTTTTGATACTTCCATTTTTCTAAATTATAAACATAATATATAAAAATTATATATGTGTGTGTATATTATGTATACAAATTATAAATATATAAAATATAAAATACAAATTATATATGTGTATATATATAACAAATATATATAAACACACATATATCAACTGCTGTGTCTTAATTTGATTTTGGATATTTGTTGACTTTCTGTTGTAGCTTTTTTTTTTTTTTTTTTGTGAGACAGAGTCTTGCTTTGTTGCCCAAAATAGAGTGCAGTGGGGCTCTCTGGGCTCACTGCAACCTCTGCCTCCCGGGTTCAAGTGATTCTCCTGCCTCAGCCTCCTGAGTAGCTGGGATTACAGGCACACGCCACCACGCCCAGTTAACTTTTGTGTTTTTGGTAGAGACAGAGTTGCACCATGTTGACCAGGCTGGCCTCGAACTCCTGGCCTCAGGTGATCCGCCTGTCTTGGCCTCCCAGAGTGTATGGTAGCTTCATTTTTAGTGTTTTTATTATGATGATCCTGTAAATTATTTGCTCCTAACAAATAATATGTATATATGTTTTTGGATTTGTTCTAGCATTAATACTTACTGTTTTTCATTTGCTTTATTTTCTTTGAACGTCTAATCAGGTCTTTATACCCTAAGTGACTCTGTAAATACCTACTGAAACAAGGGTCTTTATTGTCACAGCTCTTAGATAATTTGTCAGTGCTGTTTTTTTCTCCTGGAAGCTCCCCTTCTGGATTTCACTTGCTCCTCCTTTCTGAACTGGTTGTTCTTTGTTATGCTGACACTTCTCTTTGCCATTATTTTGGAATTTCTTTTTCTTCTCTTCTATATTAGATCCCATTTCCTGGATCTTAGGTCTTCCTCTTTCTTGATTTTCTACCTTGTTTTGATGGTGCACATCCTTTTTTACACACCCTTAACTAGTGCTTTCAACCCTTCTGACAAAGTTCATAGGAGGTAATATTTTTTAGCTTTTGCATATCTGAAAATGCCTTTATTCTGCTATCAGATTTAATAGTTCATCTGGGGGATGGGTAGAATTTTAGTTTTAAAATGTGGCTCATAACTGCCTAGTTTTTCCTTAGTATTTGCTTACCAGTAAGTTGATATTTAGACAGGTAGGCCAGGATCAGAAATAATGAGGATTTTTTTCATGATTAACTTTGATGTATCCAGAGATGTTTTTGTGTGAGCCAGTGCTTGCCTTTTGAAGAAAATGATTGTACATAGCTTACGATATAGAGGTTGTAATTCTTCTGCCAAGTCTAGATTATCTCCATTGTGTAAAATTTCCCCCCTCACCAAATTATCACTTTCAAGTGTGGTCTTGAATTGAAGGAAAAATGGAAAAGTGAACTCAATTTTGGTTTGAAGAATTTAAAACATATTTTGATGTGATTTTTAGTAAAAAATGATTATCAACTTAAGACTTTTATTTTTCTTATTTAAGAAATCAGTAAAGTTGACTTTTAATAGCAATTTGCAAGATTTATTACTATAATAGAATTCCAATGTCTAAGAAAAACAAAGAAACAGAAAGTTACTTAGTAATTAATATCAGACAGTAAAAATAACTACTCTTTTATTTTTTATTTATTTATTTTTTTTGAGACGGAGTCTTGCTTTGTCGCCCAGGCTGGAGTGCAGTGGCGCGATCTCCACTCACTGCAAGCTCCGCCTCCCGGGTTCACGCCATTCTCCTGCCTCAGCCTCCCAAGTAGCTGGGACTACAGGCGCCCGCCACCACACCTGGCTGATTTTTTGTATTTTTAGTAGAGACGGGGTTTCACCGTGTTAGCCAGGATGGTCTCGATCTTCTGACCTCGTGATCCGCCCGTCTCCGCCTCCCAAAGTGCTGGGATTACAGGCATGAGCCGTGCCCGGCCTTTTATTTTACATTCTAAATTAAAAAAAAATTTTTTTTTTGAGACACAGTCTCTTTCTGTCACCCAGGATGGAGTGCAGTGGTGTCATCTCAGCTCACTGCAGCCTCCACCTCCTGGGTTCAAGTGATTCTTGTGCCTCAACCTCCCAAGTAGCTGGGACTACAGGTTTATGCCACCACGCCAGGCTAATTTTTGTATTTTTAGTAGAGATGGGGTTTTGCCATGTTGGCCAGGCTGGTCTTGAACTCCTGGCCTCAAGTGATCCACCCACCTCTGCCTTCCAAAGTGCTGGAATTACAGGTGTGAGCCATCGTGCGTGGCCAAAATATTAATAATTCTCTTTTAAAAACCTTTTTGGTTTGCTTCCAAAAATAATTTAAGATTGCTTTCATAAAATGTGCAGAGGCCATAAAATTGAGAAACATTAACACAAAGTAAGAGACAAGAGCCTAGTAACAAATGGTGGCTCTTTGAGAAAAGGAAGTTGTTACCAAAATGTTAGACTAACTGAAGGCATGCCAATTAAGCACCAGATTTTGCTCTTACTTTTTTAGAAGCTGCGTATAAATTATTCTTTTGTTCCATATGATGACTTATTAAATAAAATATTTCACACAATATGTGCTTTTAGATGGAATAAACAACAGATCTTTTAAGTAATTGTTTTGATTGCCTATATTCATATCATGATGCTACCTTTTTGCGTTTGCGCAGTGTACATTGAATATTTACTGAGTGTTTAGAAATGCTGGTTTTAGTTTCAGCTTTGCTGTGGGTGAAGGGAAGTGGGGGGCTTCGGTTTGTTGGTGCTGCCAGGCATTATGCTACATATTATACATCTGTTATCTCATTTAATTTCCCCAAATCCTTGAGAAGTTGAATTATTATATTCATTTTGGAAATAAGAAATGAAGCTTAGAGAGGGGAAGAACACAGGTTTAAATCCTGGCTGTAAGCTCTTTGGGCTTCGGTTTTCCTAACTAGGAAAGAGGAATAGTAGCGATGAAAATAACAATCATCTGGTGATCTTTGTAATTTTACCGATGGAGTAGAAGCCATCAGAAGAGAATGCCCACATCTTCTCTTTGATAGATCATCTGACTTGCATCTCCTAAATAACTGCTTTCCCTCCCATTCTAAACTGTTCTTTTCTTTTCTAGGGACCAACCTCTCTACTTGTGAATGAGCTCTCATCCTTTCCTGGATACACAGCTTCTTCTTTCCTCCATAGTTTTTTCTTTATATAGCATGAAAATATACTATTGTCTTATTAAAAAAAAAACAAAAACAAAAACTCACCTTCACCTGACCTGCATGCCTTTAAGCAAAACTTATCTAGACAGTTGTCTATATGTACTCCCTGGCACTATCTCCTCTCTTCTCTTTCTTTCTTAAGCTCAAGCTAATCAGATTTCCATCTGTACTTTTACACTAAAACCATCATATTGAGGTTCATCATATTGGTTTTCTTGCTGTTAAGTCCTGTGGTCAGTCTTCATTTTACTTAAGCCTCTTAGCAGCATTTAACACAGTTATTCCTATCTATTTCTATCTGAAACACTTGCTTCATTTTACTTCCAATACCCCACGCTCTCCAGAGTTCTATATCTTTGTTCCTTCCCAGTCTCCTTTCCCAGCCTCTGAATGTTGGAGTGGTCCATCAGTCATTCTTCCTTCCACTAGGTTTTTTTTTTTTTTTTTTTTTTTTAATCTACTTTTATTCTCTAATCTCATCTAGTCTCAAGGTTTAGTATTATCCCAATTGTAGCTATCTTGCCCCAGGCATTCTCCTGAACTCCATACTTATGTATTGCCTTGCTTACTGGATATATCTACTTGGATATCTACTGAATATGCCCAGAACGAAACTCTCAATTCCCACCCCAAATCCATTCCTCTTTTTCACCACCTTTGCAAAAGCCACCACCATTTATCCAGTTTCAGAGGCATGGAATCATTCCTTCTCTTAAATTCCACTTCTAGTTCATCAGTAAATTCTGTTGGCATTACTCTCAAAATGTCTAGGGAATCTGACCATTGTCACATCTCTGCTGTTGGCCTAGTCCAAGCTACGATCTGCTCTTGTCTGCAGTCTTAACAGTAACCTTGTAACTGGTCTCCTTGCTTCCACCCCCTGCTCCTTCCTCCATGCCACTCAGTGTTGTATTGGAGCCAACTTGTATTGGTTTGTTAGAGCTAATCATGTGTACGACTTCTCAGGTTCACGTTCAGTGACATGCTGGTAGCTTGAAATCGCCATGACAATTTTACACCACAAATCAGCAAACACTACAAACCAAAATCCCCTCCTCTTCCTAGCCCAGGAGCTAGGTGTTAAACATTTACCAGCACACCACTGTCCACCCCCACTGTATATGTTCTGCCCAGAGAAACAGAATAGTCCTTTAACAAAATAAGTCGTATGGTGTCACTGCCCTGTTGGAACTCTCTGATGGCTTTTCATCAAACTCAGAGTAAACCCAAGGATTGCTCACAAGCCCTATGTGATCTGCCTCTGTGCTGGAGCATAGTAGATACCTAAAAAATCTTTGTTACTTGGGTAGGTTAGAGATGGGTGGGTGGATGAGTAGATGGATGGATGAGTAATTTCTGTACCATTTTAATAATCTATTGCATGAGGCCTATTAATATTTTTCTTTTGCAAATAATGGAAGTACTTAGACTTTCCAGTTGTTCAAATTTTAAATTTATTCTTAAATTTCCAGAACCTCAGAGGTCTATTTAAGTATAGGTATAAGAATATAGTCTAATATAAAATGAAAATAACCTTTGAATTCCTGTTATAAGTATGCAATTCACTGTTTTTTGTTAGCATAAATAGTTAAAATAGGAGTCAGTGTATTTTTGTAAGAACAGTCTAGAAAAAGGTAATTCCAGAATGGGAATGTTTTGAACTTAAAAAACTGTAATGCTTATAAATCTTATGTTTATACGATTCTGTTGCAAGATTACTGTGAGCACTTAAAAATAGGCGTTTATTTTGTGGAATTGCATATACTTCTATGTCATTTTTTTGGTAGAGAGTCACAGTGGATATAGTGGCAGTTGTATGTTAAATTCTAATTCAATAGAATGCTAATGGTTATCAGATTCATTTGTTACTTTTCATATGTTGCAGTCTTAAAATAACAATGTCGGTATTTTAATAACTAGATACTGTTAAGAAATTAGTAAATGTAAATCAGAAATATTTTCTTCTTTTCCAGGGTATATTTCAGAAATCGCTGGGTAAAGACTGTCCACCCAGTTGTGCATCAGTACTGTTTGATCTCAAGTGCACATTCCACCTTTCAGATGCCCCAGAAAGAAGATATTCTTAAACATCGAGTGGTGGTTGTTACATTGAATACTTCCCAGTACCTCTGTCAGTTGGACCTTGAACCTGGTATGCTGACTCAAGACACAGTCTCACAATTTTAGGGCTTATGAATTCAGTTTAGACTGGGATTGGCAAGCTACAGTGTGTGGGCCAAATCTGGCTCACTGCCTGTTTTTGTAAATAAAGTTTTATTTACTGGAACACAACCATGCTCATTTATTTACCTATTTATTGTCTGTAGATGCTTTTGTGTTACAGTGGCTGAGTTGAGTTGTTGCAGCAGAGATTGATTATATGGTCCACAAAATCTAAAATATATAGTTTGGCTCTTTACTGAAGAAAAATTTGCCAACCCCTGGTTTAATTTTAGTGACAGCTATTCCATTTGTTCTCTAGTTGGTCAGATGGTATTTATTATTGATCATATGAAGAATTCCAATTTGGAGAGTGTTGGTATTTTTCTTTTTTTTTTTTTACACTTTTCTCAGATTTTTGTTATAAAATGCTTTTGCATTATATACTGTAGAGATGATAATTATAATAGGTTTTATTATGGCATACTATTAAGATTATTATATTTGAGTACAGGAGCTATGTAAAATCAAACTAGTGTTATGTGAAGTACAGATGTAAGATGTCAGGAAGTTGTTCTGACAAATATGGCAAAACTTAATCATCAAAAAAGCAGTACCAATCTGGGGCCAGGTGTGGTGGCTCATGCTTGTAGTCTCAGCACTTTGGGAGGCTGAGGGGGGGGCTAAGGCACTTGAGGCCAGGAGTTCAGCCAGACTGGGAAATACAGTGAAACCTCATCTCTATAAAAAAGTACAAAAATTAGCTGGGCCTCATGGCATATGCTTATAGTCCCAGCTACTTGGGAGGCTGAGGTGGGAGGATCACTTGAGCCCGAGGAGGTTGAGGCTACAGTGAGCTGTGATCATAGCACTACACTACAGCCTGGGAGACAGAGTGGCACCCTGTCTCAAAAAAAAAATAAAAATAAAAATAAATAAATAAATAAAAATACTCACTACTCTTAGAGTATTAGCAAACTGAACTCTTTACTTAGCAGAAAAGAAGATAACTATAGTCCTTCTGCCTTTGTTGCTGCTCTAGCATGCTATCCTGTGTTTATGCTGTACTTTCTAGGGTTTTTTACACACATTCTATTAGATGAAGCTGCCCAGGCCATGGAGTGTGAAACCATTATGCCTCTAGCATTAGCAACTCAAAACACTCGGATTGTTTTGGCTGGTGATCACATGCAGGTAAATGCCCTTTAAGTTGCTGTGTTGAAAGTAACTTTTAATTATATTTTGATGTTTAATCTATTTCTAAAACATCCTATGAAATCATGCCATGCATTATAACTTTAGTACTTCAAATAATTCTGTACTAATAGTGAAAAATATTGTTATTTCTGAAGAAAAATTACTATTCTGCTACTCTTTTTCTTCTTTGGATAGTCTGTCACTGTTATAATTTTCATGTTTATTTAAGTTCTGTTCTTTTATAGTATGAATATCTGATTCTTACTTTTTTTTGTGAAGTAAAATTTAAATGATCATTCCTGTAGGATCCTGGGGAATTGTAATTCCCCAGCTCCTGACTTTACTATTTGTTTACCTGAAGGAGTAATTTTTGTTGGTGTAATAGAAAACTAGGAAATAGAGGGCTTAATTAAAAATTATAGCCAAAATCTGAAAGAGTGTGATTTTATATATTTGAATATCTATATGTAGGAAAGAGAAATACAGTTTTTCTATGAGGATACCTGTTTCACAAGGTCGCAGTTTGGGGCTCTTTCTCTCCTGCTGCAGTTAAGATTGGACCTACATCTTACTATATAGCTGTCAGGACATCAAGGAGAGAGTTAAATGTAGAGGAACAAATTCTGTTTTCATTTCTTTGCCTAAAGTAGTTTAATTTTGCTCTCTAGTGGTAAAAGGCATAACCACGAATGGCTCCTTATACTTCATACAATCAAGAGGATTGTTTTGTTAATTACTAAAAATGATTTTTTAGTGGTAGGCTGTATGTCCTACCAGCTCACCATTTAAAATAATTAATCAATTTTAGTGAAATAACTGTTAGACTCCCTCAGTGATGCAGTGGGTTGCATGCCTAGAATCACTGAAGTAGTAGCTATTCATTATTATGCTGGGGAGCCCTTTGTCAGGTGTAGAAAGAAACTCTAGGTTAGTGTTGGTAAACTGCAATGAGAAGTTAGACATTTTAGCCAAGTTCTTAGTAGAGGTAATGGTTCAGAGAAAATATTACTGATTGTGCTTGTCCCAGCATTTAGCATGTTGAGGTTTGGTATATAAGAAGTTTTAGCTTGGTGGATTTTTTTATAAGTAGGTTAAAAAATACTATTTGTATATTCAGTTAAACTTTCTCTGTATGTTTGTCTGTTACAGCTCAGTCCTTTTGTTTACAGCGAGTTTGCCAGGGAGAGAAACCTTCACGTTTCATTACTTGACCGACTCTATGAGCATTACCCTGCTGAGTTCCCATGTAGGATTCTCCTGTGTGAGAACTACCGCTCCCATGAAGCTATCATCAAGTAGGTGTGAACTGCCCCCTCCGTGTCATACTTTCTGTGGTCTGGTGGTGGGAAGGATCTCAAAACAGAACTGTTACTAGGGACAGATGATTCCCAACAGACTTACATAGTGTCCCTTGTCTTGCAAATTATGTTTAATTTTATGTCTTTAAAAGAAAACTTCAAAAGTCATAGTTGTAATTTTTCACAGAGTAGGGCTATTTTGGGAAAAACTCAAATCATGTTCTTCCTCTGCTTTCTCACAACAATTAACACAGAAGACTTGTATGATCGAATGTAGGGAATTCCCTCCCACCAACAAATAAGCAACCAGTTCTGCAGGGGACACCAGCTGGGTGTCCTCCAATTCAATTCTGATACCATCTATCCAGAAATAACGTCCGATCCCACAGGTTGAGGGCTTAGAAGACTGCCCACCTGCCAGCCCTCCAGCAGTCACAAGCCTGGGCCTTGGGAACTTCTAACTGATCGCCTTCAAGTTGAGGGTCCTGCCACCCTCTCTTTGGGTCTTTGGGTTCACTTAATTTGCTGGAGTGGCTCACAGAACGCATGGAAACAGTTATTTACGTTTACTGGTTTCTTATCAAGGATATTACAGAGGATATAAATGAAGAGTGCCTAGGGCATGGTGTGGGAGAAAGTGTGCAGAGCTGGCATGCCCTCCCTGGGCACGCCACCATCCAGAACCTCCACATGTTCAGCTTTCTAGAGGCTTTCGAACCCAGTTCTTTGGGTTTTTATGGAAGGATTTGTGATGTCAGCATTTCTTCCCTCAGAGTATAGGGCGGAACCCTCTCTGTGGAGGGTCTTAAGACCCACACTTTGGAAGGACGAGGTAGGAAGTTTGCTTAAGTTCAGGAGTTCAAGTCCAGTCTGAGCAACACAGGGAGACCCCCTTTCTACCAAAAAAAAAAAAAAAAAATTAGCTGGGCATGGTGGCACACAACTGTGGTCCCAGCTACTTGAGAGGCTGAGATGGGAGGGCTTCTTGAACCCGAGAGGTTGAGGCTTCAGTGAGCCATGATTACACTGTTGCACTCCAGCCTGGGTGACAGAGCAAGACCCTGTCTCAGAAACAAAAATAAGAAGAAAAAGACTGGAAGATTAGAGTCCTGCTTTGGGGCCGATGAAAGGAAGGCAGGAGAAGGTCAGAGAGATTCTGGGCCTGACATACCCAAATTATAACAAAAGACTGTAACAAGAGCTATGGTAGTTATGAGCCAGGAACTATGGATGAAAAAAAAAAAATACACACACACACATAAATAAAATAACACCACAAGGGCAATTCTGGAAACCAAAACTTTAGATTATGTTAGCTATACATATGTTTTTCTGTGACCAAATATATAATCTGTATGAAAAGTTACATGCTATAATAAATATATTGACAAATAGCATGATGGTTTGCTTATGTCTTTGGCTATGTTGTACAAGGAATCTGCTTTAAAAGAAAGGAAGAAGGGAAAGAAAGGGAGGGAGAAAAACCATGAAACTTAATAAGTTTTAAAAGATTTCTGTTAGCTATAGTGTGCATAAATATAAAGAGATATAAAGGTATATATCTTAACAACTCAGTGGATTGTCACCACCTGCATGCAGCATGTAACCCTCATCCAGATCAGGAAGCAGAACATGACCAGCGCTCCGAACGCCCCTTTGTGCTCCTTTCCAGTCACTACCCTGACCAGAAACTTAACACTGTAAAAAAATGTAGTATAATTTAATAATATTGATTATGTCAACCATGTGAAAACCGTTTTTAGGTTTCCCTGAATGCAATTGGATAGATAGAATTCTCTCTCTCAAAATGTGATTCTTCTATTGTCTTCAGTCATTTGCTGCAGTCACGGATGAGTCAAGTACTAGATGGTGTCTTCATCAGTAAAGTGGATTCGTTTTACAGCTTGATCGTCTTTCAGTTGTGTACATTGTTTCAGCATCTGTATATCTATGTGTTTGCATGTATTAGTACAATCATGGGTCACATTCTGAGAAATGTGTCATTAGGCACTTTTGTTGTTGTGTGAATGTCACAGTGAACTTACACTAACTAGATGGCATAGCCTACTACACATACAGGTTATATGGTGTATATAGCCTGTTGGCTCCTAGGTTACAAACCTGTACAAAGCATGCTGCTGTACTGAATACTGTAGGTAATTATAAAACAATGGTATTTGTATATCTAAACATGGAAAAAGTATGGTAAAAATACAGTATTATGATCTTATGGGACCATCATCATATATACTGTCTGTTGTTGACTAAATCGTCATTATGTGGTACATGATTGTATGTGACTCATTTAAATAAAAATACATAGTAACCAAGGAAATATACTGGCTAGCAAATTTCCTCATAAAGTCTCATCTTGTGTTGAACTGTCATCATTTCTTCCTGTTTTGGCTTTGTAGCTTACCAAAATCATTCCATTTAACAATGTTACGCCAGGACCCTACTGTTGTTATTTTTGGAGAAATTTTTGGCATCATAAGTATTAGATGATTGGAGTAAAATTAATCATGGACATAAGGCAATATTATTAGAATTGACTTTTTTTTTTCTTATAGGTGAAATTAATATTGATGTAGATTTTCCCCCTTTTTTCTTTTTGTCTTTTACTACAGTTACACCTCTGAGCTTTTCTATGAGGGCAAACTGATGGCCAGTGGGAAGCAGCCAGCACACAAAGATTTCTACCCACTAACTTTCTTTACAGCACGAGGAGAAGATGTACAAGAAAAAAATAGCACAGCTTTTTATAATAATGCAGAGGTACCTTAATTCTTTTTTGAAAATTGTTGACATTTTCCTCAGTCACATCGTCTGGTTTTGTTAAGCATTTATTTAAAGTTTTGGGTTGACATTGTATTGCATATTGACTTCATTTACATGTTAATAGTATGTAAAGTTTATTCTTTCTTGTATAACATTGATTTGTTCAGATGGATCTCCTGTGGGAAACAAAAACTTTGATTTACATTTTGTCTTATGGTAAGACACAAAATTCATTCAAAAGAAAAACCAACATTGTTCTCAATTAGATCATTATTGTTAGGTATCTAAAATAGACTCTGAGTAAGTTTTATAGTGCATATGCAAATGAGGTATCATTTTAAATGAATAAAACTTGAATTGCAGAATCCTGTGCTCCAGAGAGATCACATGGACCCAGATAGCAATGTTGCAATTCCATGATGTGCTCCAACTTACATAATTCTCTTATAATTTCTGACTTTTTAGGTTTAGAGAGAATGTGAGTATTTGAAGGGTCAGATCAGGCAGCAGACCAAAAAAATGGCAACGTCTTCAGGGGCTAACAAACCAGAAACCCTGGAGTTCAGGTTCTATCCGTCAGGAGGGAGTGGAATTCTGGACTTGAGGAAACCTGGAGGATGGCAGAGCATTGGGGGCATGGCTCTTGATCTCCAGTCTCCACTGCCCTTGAATTCCATGCTTTACCCATATTATTAACAAAGAAATGGCTTTTATGATGTAGTAGGAATTCATTTTTCCGTTAAGACATTGCTCACGGGCCTGTAGTTAGAAGTCAGTACAAAAAAATCATCAGTACTCACTTGATAAAATCCTAGCCAAAAACAAACTTGACATTTTGGTTAGTCTGTGCCGTTTAATTTTAGGAAAAGGTAAACTTTTCTTTAAATATTTGAAATATTGAAAATAACTTTAGGGGTCTCGTTTGTTGTTTTTGCACTCAAGTTGGAAACCACTGACCTAGGAATTAGCCGTGATTATGGGTGGGAGGGATGACAGGAAGCGGCAAGCAGGGCCTGAAATCCAGAAGCCTTGGTGGCCCTGCGGTGACATCAGGCATCAGAGCTGAGCCTTGATCCTTGATCCTGAGGCAGGATTGATGTTTGCCTACTACAACTGAGAGGCTCAGTTTCTCAGCCTGGGTTACTTGTTCATTCACAGTGACCTGGTGTGTTTCCCAGGAAACCCGTAAGCTATAGGATAAATAAGGTGCTGTTTCATGGACTGTCAGTTTTACTCAAAGGTTTTTTGTTTTTTGGTTTTTTTTGAAAAATATTTGTTCATATTAAAAGGTCACAAAGACAGCTCACTTTAAAGGTCGTGTGACCTTTAAATATTAAGCATGTAACTTTAGAGACATTTCAAATCACCTTGACTTTCACCAAAGCAGGGTTGTTCAGAGAGTGTCTTCAGCCCCATGAGTTACTGTAGTCAAAAATTTTGAGACATATTGCTCCAGGACTCTTTCTGCAAGGGGCAAAAACTGACCCTGTTCACCTCAGCTGAATACCAGTGTAGGTGTTTTGAATTTTTGAATACCAGTGTAGGCATATTTGGATACTAATATAGGTTTATTTGGACAGTAAGATGATTTTAGAAGCTCTGGTCTTTTCTTGATGGTATGTAATTTAAAAGTGAAACTCAAATCTATTTTGTGTTATAGAACAAGCAGAGGAAGTGGCATCAGTTGCATTCGTAGGGGAAAAATGATATCTTTTATAAGGAGTATAATACTTAGGAGAGCATTTGAAAATAGTTTACATTCCACTATTAGGAAAATAAGATAGTCTTACATAGAGTTAAAATAAAAATAAACTTTAAAAAAAAGGTTGGAATTAAAAGTAAAGTTCAAGAACCTCAAGTTGAAGGAATACTCATAGCATTTGTGCTGTGCACAGTTCTCTTTTGTTTAGGCAACATGCTTTTTATTTTACGTATCTCGTGCTTTGTACATCATTTGAAATTGTGTCTTCTTTCACGTGCTTAAAATTGTAGAAGGAGACTGAGAAAGATCATTCTTTTTTTTCTTGATTCTGAACTTATATCCCACAGTAATGAAATGGTTTCAGTTTAATGCCAAGGTGAGAAAAAAGTACAATTTAAATACTAAGCACCACAGATATGTTTTTTCTTTCTTTCTTTTTTTTTTTTTTTCTTTTTGTTGACTCAGAGTCTCTCTTTGTCACCCAGGCCAGAGTGCAGTAGTGTGATCACTGCAGCCTTGACCTCCTGGGCTCAGGTGATCCTTTAGCTTCATTAGCTTCAGCCTCCCAAATAGCTGGGACTATGGGTACGCACCACCACGCCTAGTTAATTTTTTTTTAAATATATATTTTGTAAAGATGAGGTCTTACTATGTTGCCCAAGCTAGTCTTGAACTCCTGGGCTCAAGCGATCCTCTCACCTCAGCTTCCCAAAATGCTGGGAATAGAGGTGTGAGCAACCATACCGGGCCAAGGTTTAGTTCTTTACCTTGAAAAATTTAGTTGGAAGGGAGGAGCTATGGATAATAACCATAAGATGGTGTGGTCTGAGAGGTAGACAGAGTTGTACAGATATACAAAATGAATCCATTGGGCTTGGTGGCACCTGAGGCATAGAGGAGAACGTGGTTTTTGCCTCATATGTTTTGAGAATCTGCAGTTAATTATCTATATTTATAATTGTTACATCTCCCTAATAGGTTGATCTTTTTATCATTTTTAAATGTCCCTCCTTGGTGTGACTCATGCTTGTAATCCCAGCACATTAGGAGACCGAAGTGGATATATTGCTTGAGCCCAGGAGTTCAAGATCAGGCAACATGGTGAAACCCTGTCTCTAATGAAAAAATTAGGTGGGCGTGGTGGCAGGTGCCTGTAGTACCAGCTACTCAGGAGTCTGACTGAGGTGGGAGGATGGCTTGAGCTTGGGAGGTGGAGGTTGCAGTGAGCTGAGATTGCACCACCGCGTTGCCGCCTGGGTAACAGAGCTAGACCCTGTCTCAAAAAAATAAAATAAAATAAATAAATAATCCCTCTTTATCTTAGTACAGTTTTTTGTTTTAAAGTTGATTTGTCTGACATTAGTATAACAATTTCAGCTTGTTTATAGTTGCTGTTTGCACAGTATATCTTTTTTTATTTTACTTTTATTTACATGTTTGAATCTAAAGTGCATATTCTATAGACAGCATATTGTTAGATCTTGATTTTTTAAAAAAAGTCTGAAAATCTCTGCCTTTTTGTTCGTTTGTTTTGTTTTGTTTTCTTTTGTTTTTGAGACAGGGTCTTGCTCTGTCACCTAGGCTGGAATGCAGTGACACGATTATGGCTCACTGCAGCCTGGACCTCCCTGGGCTCAGGTGATCTTCCCACCTCAGCCTCCTAAGTAGCTGGGACTACAGATGTATGCCACTATGCCCAGCTAATTTTTGTATTTTTTGTAGAGATGGGATTTGCTGTGTTTCCCTGGCTGGTCTTGAACTCCTGGGCTCAAGCTATCCACCTCCCTCAGCCTCCCGAAGTTCTGGAATTGCAGTCATCTTTGCATTTTGATTGGGATTTTTAATCCATTCACATTTAATGTTATTGATATGGTTGGATTTACCTCAGCCCTTTTTTCCTCTATGTCTCATGTAGTTTTTGATCTCCTGTGTCTCCTTTATTGCCTTTTTTTGTATTAAGTACATATTTTCTAGTGTCACATTTTAATTCCTTTAATTATTATTTTTCTTTTTTTTTTTTTTGTGAGACAAAGTCTTACTCTGTTGCTCAGGCTGGAGTGCAGTGGTATGTTCTTGGCTCACTGCAACCTTCGCCTCCCAGGTTCAAGTGATTATTGTGCCTCAGCCTCCCAAGTGGCTGGAATTGCAAGTGCCTGCCACCATGCCTGGCTAATTTTTGTATTTTTAATAGGGGCAGGGTTTCACCATGTTGGCCAGGCTGGTCTCAAATTCCTACTTCAAGTGATCCACCCACCTCGACCTCCCAAGGTGCTGGGTTATAGGCATGAGCCACCATGCCCGGCCATTTCTTTTAATTATTTTTTAATTATATTTTTTGAGTTATTTTCTTAGTGGTTTCTTTAGGGCTTAAAATATACATCTTACTTTATCAGAATCTACTTCAGATTTTTACTAACTTATTTCCAAAGAGCTGTAGAAATTACTCCTACATAGCTCTATTCCTCCTTCCTTTCTGTGCCATTATAGTATATATAGTATACCTATATATAACAAACTATATTTTTATAATTATTAATTTATATAATTTTATGTTTTTAAAAAATTCTGAGAGAAGGGTGACAAGTACATATTTATGGAGTTTGCTATATTAACCTTCACTTCTCTTTGTGGATTTGAGTTACCATCTGGTGTCATTTTTTACCTACCTCCTTTGTGCTGTTATTGTCAAACATACTACATTATTATATGTTATAGCCTAACAATACAATTATGTACATATGGGCTTATGCAATTGCTTTTTAAATGAGTTAAGAGGAGAAAGGAGAAGAAATATGTTATTATACTGTCTTCTATCATTACCCACATAATCACCTTGACCGAGATCCTTTGTTTGTGTGGATTTGAATTATTGTCTGGTATCACTTGCTTTCAGCCTGAAGAACTTCCTTCAGTGTCTCTTGTAAGGGGAGTCTGCAAGTAAGGAATTCTCTTAGGTTATGTTTCATCTGGGCATGTCTCTATTTGGCCTCATTTTTGAAAAGTAGAATATAAGCTTATTAGTCGAATTGGTTGGATTTTTTCTTTTAGCGCATTGAAATATGTTTTCTCACTGCTTTCTGGCCTCTATTGTTTCTGGTGAGAAATCTGTTAGTCTTACTGGAATTTCTTTGTAAGTGATGAGTTGTTTTTCTCTTGCTGTTTTCAAGGTTTTATTTTTGTAGTTTTTAATATGGTTGTCTGTTGTGTGGGTCTCCTTGCATTTATCTTACTCAAATTTCATTTGAGCTTGGATGTATAGCTCAGTGTTTTCCATCAAATATGGAAAATTTTTAGCCATTATTTCTTTGAACCTTTTTTCTGCTCCTTTCCATCTTTGCTCTCCTTCTGTTCTCCCATCAGATGCATGTTGGTGAGCTTAATTGGTGTTCCACACTTCTTTGAGGCTGTGTTCTTTTTTCTGCATTACTTTTTCTCTCTGTTCTTCAGATTGCGTAACCATTATGTATCTTCATGTTTGCTGATTCATGCTTCTGTTATTTCAAATCTACAGTTGACTCTTGGCAATAAATTTTTCATTTCAATGTTTTTACTTTTCTACTTCCTAGGGCATAAATTGCTCCACGGTGTAATCCAGCTGCCATGGGTCTCTTGGCAGAGGCAGAATGTTACCTGTTTGTAAGCCTTCCTCTCACTGTCTCCTGGGCAGAACTTATGGAGCAGTTGTTGGGGGAATACATGGAACTTCCTCCTCACTGCTTTTCCCAACCTGCATCCATCCTATGGAGCAGGAGCTCTGTGTATGCTGTGTGTTTGTGTGTAATCCATGCTGCCATCCAGGTGCTTCCATCCAGCTGGTGCCACTACCCAATGTGGGTCTTCTGCAGTGCAGACCAGGGGAGGTTGGGATCTGCTGATGTTCAGTGGCTGCTGAGTGTACGAAGCATAGGTCTTCTGTCGTAGGAAGCTAGAGAAAATGGAGATTGTCAGTGGACTGCCAAGGCATTTGGAACAGCTCTCCTGCAATACAGAGCTATGTAGGAAAGAGGGACTGCACTGCTACCCACTGTCCCATTCCCTGTGTAGCAGGAGATGGTGGGTGGTTGGGGAACAGGTACTACCTGACTACTGCCAACTGCTTATCATAGGCCTTCTGCAGCACAAAGCTGTGAAAAATGAAATCTGCCAATGTTTACCAGCTGCCAAAAGCACCTGGAATAGGAGGGACCTAGGGAGATGGAAATTGGCCCTTGGCCGTTGAAACAGTTCTGTAAGACAGAGCTGTGGGGGAATGGAGGCAGCCCGTAGCTTGTAGGCCTCAACCTTCCACTGTTCTCAGTGAGTTTTGTAGGTTTTGTTGAATAGGTAGATGCTTCTCAATTTTCTTGTAACCTCTTTCGTCTGTGTTTAGAGACTTTGATTGTCTTTGCTAATTTTGACCAACTTAAAAGATGTCTGTCTGGGGAAGAGGTTTCCCACAATGACTCATACCATCATTCTAAGTCTGTTTTTTGACTACACGACAGTAGGATAAAGTGCAGAAATGGTTGTGTGTTGCTTAGTGGTGGGAACTCTGTTTATGGGGTGGGAGGGTGCAGCAGAGGTGTTTCCCAACTCATCTATCCCCACATCTAACCACATGGGTAAAGATAATTTTTTCTTATTCCTTATTTCAGTAGACTCAGTATGTCTACTCTGTTTCCTGATAGTGAGAACGCCATGTCTTTAGTTTGCTCTTCACATTCCCTGGGTGGTCTGTGTATGTGATGCACCTGCTGCTGTATCATAATAACAATAGGATAACTGTAGTCCTTACCTCTGTAGTTCCTTGAATTTGTATCTGGACATGGGAACTGCTTCACTGTCAATAACCTCAAGTTTTTCAAAAGATGAAAATTGTCAATTTTTATTAAATATATTTAATATTATAAATTCAAATAGATACTGTTAGTAACTAATAAAGAAACGATGTACTTAAAGATATTTAAAAGCGTATCTCCTTCCTCTGTATGCCCCTAGACTCTTGACTGACGCTCTGTTGTGCTTGCCTTATATGTATTTTTTTTATTATAGCTCTCTTTTCTAAATAAACCATAAGCTCTTCTCCGTAAGTAGCAGGCAAGGTACATGTTTTATTAATTTTTGTACCTTCTCCACTGTGCCAAACATTGAAACTGTTTGATCAATTTATTGAATTAAAGTAGAACAAACTATCCTAAAAACCCTATCATAATCCAATAATTAGGGTCTGAAAAATTTAGTTGCATAAACTGTGGTGTTGCTTTATTGCAAGGTTAATGAAATGGCTTGGCTGGACTTGTACCACTAGCAGGTAGTGAATTCTGAAAGTCTGTCTCTGTGATCCACATGTGGCCTACTCCCAACTGTGGTTTGTTGTCAATTGGTGGCTGTTGGCTGGTCTGCTTAGTTATATCAGTGAGGAAGGGGACAATGTTAGGCCTTGTACTGCTGGGAATTAGTGACGTCCCTGATGACAGGAAGCTTCTAGTTGGTTAGTTTCTCTGATCTGAAGATAGTGGACTTAGAATTACTGGGGCTGTTAGAACTTACCTCCCCTAGGATCATGGCCTGTCTTTTTCCCCATGCAGGAACTTGATCTTGTTCCTCCCTACACAGGAACTTGGGGGCCAGTAGCATTGCCCCTGATTTTCATGTTTTCACTGGTTGTAGTATTGGAGAATTTTACTCTTTAAAATGTAAATGGAAAAATTATATTCTCATTCTATTCACATCAGCAAAGCATTACTCCCATTTAGAGGTAGTTTTTTTTTTTTTTTTAAATGATGTCTGCTAAAATGGGATCCTTTATAAATGTGTTTCGGTTACGATATTATTTTCTCCAAACATTGATGATGACTTTAATATGTATGTGTATGTTCGTTTAAAGGTGTTTGAAGTGGTGGAACGTGTGGAAGAGTTAAGAAGGAAGTGGCCAGTAGCGTGGGGGAAGTTAGATGATGGCAGTATTGGTGTGGTGACTCCATATGCTGATCAAGTGTTTAGAATACGTGCTGAACTTCGAAAAAAGAGATTATCTGATGTTAATGTAGAAAGGGTGCTAAATGTTCAAGGTAAGTATCAATTGAAATGAATTAAGTCATTCAAATGCTTAAATCTAAAGTGTGTTCACACTGGATTTTTAATGCTTAAGATCTCTTTTCTGAACTTATGTGTTCTTTTCATATCAAGTTCTTTAATGCCAGGTTTGGCAATTAAAGGTTGCACTCATTTACATGTTTATTAAATTTTTATATCCAAACAAAATAAGTATTAACAAATATACCTTTTCTATGACCATAATTGTATCAGTGCCACATAGTATGTGTATGCTGTGAATTACAATCATAATAGTATATCACACATTTTGCGGTTATACTGTATCTGAGGATGAATTTCTTTTTTATGTATAGGCTTTTCTAAGTTTATAGTTAACAGCAACTCCTTTATAGGCTTTTCTAAGTTTATAGTTAACAGCAACTCCTTTAAATTATCTTCATTTAATTAATTGCTATAAAATTTGTGCTTTTAAATATATGAAGCAACATTACGATGTGAACTCTAAATGAAGCCTAATACAATGTTAGGTTTTATGGTAATATCCAGCAGTAAGAGCATGGGAAAAAAATAGTTCTACTGTACGATGTGTTATCCAGATTATACAGAATTTAGGTGAGCATTTTAGAAAGAACATTAGGAGTAAATTAGAAAGCACCCAGAGAAGACTTAAGGTAGTGAATGGTCAAGAAACTGCCATGAGAAAACTAGGATGTTTGGCCTGGAGAGGAGAAGACTAAGGATTGACATCAACATTGTATTGAGACTCGTCATAGGGTGAGGGAATAGATATGTTACTATATGAAGCACATAAGAAAAAATGATATACACCTAGACTTTCTGTAGACTTCTTTATGAAATCAACTGTGCCTGCCCCCGTTGGCCAGAGACTAGATGACTCTTTCAACAAAGGGTCCTTGTGTTGGGTGGAACGTGGGACTGGATAGTTTTTAAGGTTGGTTCAAACAGTATCCTTAAAAATATTTTTTTTATGGTCATAAAATATGTATGATGTAAAATTGACCATTTTAACCATTTTTATGCACATAAGTTCTGTGGCATTAAGTTCATTTACGTTATTGTGTAACAGTCGTCACCATTCATCTCTAGAACTTTTTTGAGCTTTCCAAACTGAAATTCTATACGCATTAAATGCCCCCATTCCTCCTTACCTCCTGGCAGTCACCCTTCTGCATTCTTTCTCTATGAATTTGACTATTCTAGCTACCTCATATAAATGGAATTATGTAGTATTTGTCCTTTTGTGACTGGTTTATTTCACTTAGCATAATGCCTTCAAGGTTCATCCATGTTGTAAGATGTGTCAGAATTTCATGCCTTTATGAGGCTGAATAATCTATTGTATGTATATGCCACATTCTGTTGATCCATTCCTCTGTCCAGGGATACTTACTTGTGTTGCTTCCACCTTTTGGCTATTGTGAATAATGCTGCTATGAATGTGGATGTACAAATATCTGTTTGAGTTCCTCCTTTCAGTTCTTTTGAGTATGTATGTAAGCATAGAATTGCTGGATCATATGGTAGTTCTCTGCTTAATTTCTTGAAGAACTGCTGCACTGTTTTCCACAGCAGCTGTACCATTGGACATTCTCACCAGCAGTGCATAAGGGTTTCAGTTTCTCCGCATCTTTGCCAATGTTTGTTATTTAGCAATTACATTTTAAAAAATGCAATGCTTTTATTATATCAGTGGTTCAGAATGACAATCTTAAGTCTTTTCTTAAAAATTTTCTTTGTAGGAAAGCAATTCAGAGTTTTGTTTCTTAGCACAGTACGTACAAGACATACTTGTAAACATAAACAGACACCAATTAAAAAGAAAGAGCAACTTCTGGAAGATTCCACAGAGGACTTAGATTATGGTTTTTTATCTAACTACAAGCTTCTCAATACTGCCATCACAAGAGCACAATCCCTGGTTGCTGTGGTGGGTGATCCCATTGCTCTGTGCTCTATTGGAAGATGCAGGTAAATATGTATTAATGTTGAGACATTAAAGGGGAAATGTGACATGATTTGTATCCCTGTGTGTACATTTATTCATATGACCTTCTGGCTAATTAAAATCAGGTTTATTATAGCCTGATATCCAATGGGAACACAAAAGCATATTACTTTGAATCTATTTATTGTATGCATAATTGTGTATTCATTGAGCCATTATTCAAGAGATATTTCCTGAGTGACTTCTAGGTTCTAAGCACTCTTCCAGCTCCTAAAGATACAGCAGTGAACAAAATACACAAAAGATCTCTGCCCTTGTGGGCTTACATGTTATTTGTGGGGCTTACTTTTTACTATTAAGGAGAGGAAGATTACCATACACTAAATAGGAATATTACATAGTATTTTACATGGTAAGTTGAATGGAAAGGAAAATATTAAGAGGAATTAGGAGTGATGGGGACGGGGCAGACTGGCTTGTGATTATAAATAGCATGGTGAGAGCAGACTTCACTGAGAAGCTGACTTTGGAAGTGAGGGAGAAGCTATTTGGGTTAAAAGTGCTCCAGGAAGAAGCAACAACCAGAGCAAGGGTCCTGAGCTGGTTTCATGTATGTGTCTGTAATTGATGGATATTAACTTTTGTATCCCTTGGTGCCTCACTTTTCCCCTTCATTGTTCTAATTTTTGATGAATTTCCTTCTGTAGTCTTGCTCTCTCAAGGCTTCTCAATGTAGATAATTCTTTGTATCTGGTTAATCCAGAAGATCTTAACATTAGGGGGTTAGACGTGGTCATTACTTGTCTTTTGATAGCATTATTAGTATTCATTAGACTTTAGTTTTAAGGAACAATTTCTACTAAATATGGTTAAAATACCAACCTACACACCAAAATCTTTCTTTATACACTTGTGACTTATACCAGTGAATTGGAATTTTAACTGTATGAAGCCAGTAATAGAAAATTTGGCCTTTTGAGTATTGAAGAACTGTGTTAGCATTTAAAAAAAAAAAAAGCAGTTGAACAGATATTTATATATTCTTTTGTGAAAAAGAAAGAAATACACTAGGGATTACTTAAAATTTTATAAGTATGCTAGTTCCTGTCATAGGAAGTTTGGAATAGTAAAAAGAAATGTAGATAGTCCTGAATCTGCCTTGGGGTAATTATTTCTTTTTGATCTGTTAGAATTAAAGTAGACAAAACTATTAGGACATGGCACTCTTTAAATCAGGTTTTTTTTTCTTACAATATAGATGATGACAGCACTTTATTATCTGTTTTTGTATTCTAGCAGGAAGAAAAATCCTATGGGAAGGGAGACTATTTGACACCTTTAAGAATCAGTTTGATGTATCAGAATTTAAGACCCTCAAAAAGTTCATGGCCTTTCTAGGGGAAAGCTGTCATCAGAAGAATCAAGTAGAGTTTTAATTGATGAAAAAAATGTTTCTTCTTTAAAAATCAAAGCTTGGAGGGTCCGTGACTTTGTCTATAAACAATTCTGTTGTAACATCTTTAATTTCATACCTTAAAAACATATTGCCATGCATTTGTAGTCACTAATGACAAAAAATTGGAGGGAGGAGAATTTTTTTTTTTTTTTTTTTGAGACTGAGTTTCACTCTTGTTGCCCAGGCTGGAGTGCACTGGCACAATACCGGCTCACTGCAACCTCCGCCTCCTGGGTTCAAGCAGTTCTCCTACCTCAGCCTCCCAAGTAGCTGGGATTACAGGCCACCACACCCAGCTAATTTTTTGTATTTTTGGTAGAGACGGGGTTTCTCCATGTTGGTCAGGCTGGTCTTGAACTCCCGACCCCAGGTAGTCTGCCCACCTTGGCCTCCCAAAGTGCTAGGATGACAGGCGTGAGCCACCACGCCTAGCTGAAAATATCCTAAGTTACAAATGAATAGAAGAAACCAAGTATATCAAGGAGTCTACTATTTTGGCTTTCATCCTAAGAATTTTACTTTATATTACTTTACTAGTCATTGTAAGTATATTTGGTTAGAATGTTGCTTGTGGTATTTTACCATTTTTGCTTATATTTATTATTTGATAAGTGAGACAGCACATACTATTTGATTAGAATGTAATATATTAAAGCACATATGTAGATTGGAATGTGTTGAAAACAACTAGAAACTATGAGGGGAGTAAACGGATATGAGAATAGTGTTACGGTCAGGCACAGTGGCTCACACCTGTAATCCCAGCACTCTGAGAGGCCCTGGTGGGTGGATTGCTTGTGCTCAGGAGTTTGAGACCAGCCTGGGCAACGTGGCAAAACCTTGTCCCTACAAAAAATACAAAGTTCAGCTGGGTGTGGTGGCATGTGCCTGTGGTCCCAGCTACTCAGGAGGCTGAGGTGGGAGGATCGTTCGAGCCCAGGAGGTCAAGGCTCTAGTGATCACGCCACTGCACTCCAGCCTGGGTGACAGAGCAAGACCCTGCCTCAAAGAAAATTAAAAAAAGAATAGTATTAAGCCACATTAGGTTTGGGTTCTCCTTACATATAACTCCAAATATATTTACCAACCTGAATATTTTTAAAGAAACCATTACCCCTTTCTTAATAGAGTCATATTATACTGTGAATTGCATGAGATCAGCATTTTTCATCCATTCTCTGACAGAAGTCATTACTTTCTTAGAGCAAATGGGTGAATAATTCTTCCTGAGGCCATGCTTTCAGAATTATCCAGGGCTAATTTTTAACTTCAAAGCTGAATCTACTGTTGCCTGTTTCTTACTACTCAACTGGGAAGTGTCAAGGTATACACCTTAATTGATAAGCTAAGCAGAATATTTTCAGGGAAGTAAATATACTGTGTTGAGTGGGAAAAAAACCATACATTTCATAGTTACATGGCAATGTTGATTATCTGCTTTATTTGTACAGTTTAATCATGGCTGTAGCCCAAGAATTAATGGTTGGGGCATATGGATATTTAAGCTTTAATCTCACTAATTTAATTAGATATTAATTTACCCTCACAATACAAGTAAACTCAGAGAATGTAATACGATTCTTGGGTCCTGTAAAAATGGAAGAGTGAGTTCTTTGAGTTCATTAGGACTGTTTTCCTGCTTTTTTCATTTAATATTTTCAAAAAAACTAATATATTCCCAAATATCAATCAAGTTTTTGAGGAATACTTACTGTGTATATTATATCAGTTCAGAAGTCAGTCAGTTATATATTCTTTTTTGTTTTATTTTTAAACAGATTTTTTTTCTGTTAATCCAAAATGGATATAGTGAAGATCCTCCCGCTCTCGCGCCAAGCTAACAAGTATTAATAGTGGCTGCTGTTTATTGACAGCTTTCTTTGAGCCAGGTGCTGGTTTATGTACTTTGCACACATTGCCTCATTCGGTCCTCTTAACAACCCTATAATGTGGATATTTTATTTGCATTTTAAATGGGCAGCCTGATTCAGAGAGATTAAATTGCCCAGGGTCACATATCTATTATGTGGTCCACTCAAACAGATGTCAGATTGACTTCAAAACCCACATTCTTCTCTCTGGTTATGCTGCCTTTCCCAGAACTGATGGATATGCTCAGATAAATCTGCACGGAATGGCAGGAGGCTAAGAGGAGAGTGATAACCTTTCTTCAAACCAAGACCTTTGGAGAAGGTCTTCCCTTGAACTGAATTTCTTCATTTAGCACATTTTATTTACTCTGTGAAATATAAACATATCTCATGTATGTGTAGAGATGTATGTATGTGTGTACACACACACACACACACACCCACACACACACACACACACACACACACACACACACACACACACACACAGTGACCTAAGGACACCAAGTGATGTTTTAGTGTTTTATCAGTCATCTTAGAAGTAAGGTTAACACAGAAAGAAAATCAAACTTTGTGTTCAGGCAGTGATTAAAAATAAGGTTACATCCTTTGAAATGCCTAAAATTATATTACAGTGTAATGCACAGTTGGGTTTTTAAACCAATAGTACTAAAAAATGGTTAACATAATATTATATTAACATTTTAGGGAGGGGGCTAAGAATTGATAAAATCTTTAAATAACCAGAGTGGTGAATTCTTGTCCTCATTCTAATGTGATCTTTCAATTATCTGTATTCAGAAATGCTTCATAATTGTATACACAGTACTTTGGTCAGATATTGGGGAGTTCAAGGGCCAGTGTAAAGAGAAAAAAGGAAAAACTTTAGCTTTAAAACTAAGAATTTTTGAAGGAAAGAAGCATTTCCCTGAAAATTTAGAAGACACAAATGTCATTTCAATAGTAAAGAATAATAATAATAGTCGTGCTGGTGCCCCACTTTACACATGAGGAAACTGAAGTATAAAGAGAGGCTAAGTAATCTGCACGAAGTCACACAGCTACTGAATGATAGAGTCAAGATTTTGGGCTAGTTCTAGAATCCATATGCTTTACCATTTTGCTATATCAACGGTGCCCCCTCCCCCCCCCAAAAAAATGTCAGATTTAACATGCAAATTTCAGGTCACTTTTAGAGCCAGTTTAACTTGATTAACTTATAGTAATTATTTAATGTTACTTTTAAATTAGTATACTTTAACTCGAAGGCTATTTCTTTGAAATCCCTGGAATCTTGTAGGCAAAGACTGTCACCGAGCTCCAGCTTTTTGTGAAGTATGAGGTTGTTTGACTTAACCCAACGTTACTTCAAATTCTGTTCATTGCAGTCAAGGTCAGTGAGGGTGATATAGGAACAGGGTATGGAGTTTTAAAAGGTAGCTTAAAAATAGATCAGGTTCTAGCATTTTGGCTGTGTAAGCTGGAGATGAAAAACATAATAAGAAATTGATATTAAAAATTGAGCTAGAGGCTGGGTACAGTAACTCATGCCCATAATCCTAGCACTTTGAGAGGTCGAGGTGGGAGGATTACTTGAGGCCAGGAGTTTGAAACCAGCTCTGGCATCATAGCGAGACCCCATCTCTACAAAAAAAAATTTAAAAAATTAGCCAGGTGTAGTGGCACACACCTACAGTCCCAGCTACTATGGAGGCTGAGGCAAGAGGCTTGAGCCCAGGAGTTCAAGGTTACAGTGAGCTGTGATCATGCCACGGCCCTCCTGCCTTCAGTCTGAGTGACAGCACGACCCTGTCTGAACAAACAAAAAACTCAACTAGACAGAGTAAAAGTCAATCCATTCTTTCCTTGATGTTTTGCTTTGTCTTGAAGTCCAACACAAACATGAAATGCCACTTTATGAAACTGATACTTTATCAATTAGACTAAAAAGACCTTTTGAATATAGTATATAGTAGAATTGTATTGATAAAAATATTCATACAGTTGAATATTGTGGCTATTCTTATTAAAAGGGTGGGAAAGTGGATGGATTTTAGATCCTGAGTGCTATATAAGATAGTCCTTCCTTATATTTTCTCATGTTAAGATGAGAAAAAAAGCACAGTTCCTTCATTGGGCTTCTTAAAAATAAAAATAAAGGACAGCTTTTCAGCGTGCGTTTCTTGGCAACACACATTTCCAGCAACTGCATGACTGTTTTATTAGCCTTAGTCTTATGGTCAGAAGTATATATTTAATATTTTGTAGCATTTTTACTTTTTCTGTTGTTTACATATAGGTCTAAAATTTTTTCTGAACCCATTTGTTTATTTTTTTGTTTATTCATTCCATTTAACATTTTTTATTTTTTCTTATTAAACTTATGTTTTTCAACAGCTTTATGGGTACAAGTGGTTTCTGATTACATGGATAAGTTGTATAGTAATCAAGACTGGGCTTTTAGTGTACCCCTCACCTGAATAGTGTACATTGTACCCAACAGATAGTTTTTCATTCCTTACCCCTCTCCCACCCCTCTACCTTCAGAATCTCCAATATCTCAATTCATTTCTTAAACTCATCTTCAAAAAACTAGGAAAGATGGATAGAAGGCATATGTAAGAGAAGCATAGTTTGAAATTAAACTCTGCAAAGTTTGATGAATATATTAATAACTCAATTCCCATTCATATACTAACTTTTATAATATAAACCTTTTCATTTATGCTTCTTGAAGCCATCTTGATTACCTGCTGTCCACCTGGACACAAGGATACCAACTTGGGAAGAAACCATATCACATATCTTTTATAGCATAATAAAACATTATTTGAACCTCTCATATTAAACATAGGTATGCATATTTATAATAGTCATTTAAAATTTAAAAACTATATGTTGTCTTTTGTAATGTGTATTTAATAATTTTAATATTTAGAAATCAATTTTCAAACCTAGGAACAACAGTATACAAATGCAACAAGTTTTGAATGTATTTTTCTCCTTTAGTACTTATTAATTTAATTAAGAAATGAATAATCAACATTAAAATTAGCATTCCAACTTCCTATATTTTTCATAATTCATTTAACACTTATAACTTAGTTAATGGTATAAGTTGTGCTTGTGACTAGCACCTGTTAATTAAGAGAAAAATAAGGAGTAGCTGGTTATTTCTTAAGAATTTTCATGAGGATTATCTACTTTGTGACTCAAATTTATGTCTTGAGTTGGCTTTTCTTAGTCATCTAACACTAGGCTACTTTGGCCTTATAATTCAAATATATACACACACACATAGATACACATGTTTGTGTGTATCTGTGTGTGTGTATATATATGTGTATGTATATATGTGCATATATACACATATACATGCATGTATATGTGTGTATGCATATGTATATAAATTAGAATTATTTATATTCATTATATTGAATTTTATGTATATATAGTATATATATGTATGTAGTAAGTATGCCTAGAAGTACAAATTTTTTATGAAATGAGTTGCCATCAGTTTTGAAAACTTATTATGTGGGTAATAAAAAACATCATTTTGAATTAGTGTGGATAGGTGAGTACTGACCATATTACTTGCATTGATGAGCCAAAATTAATGGAGAGCCTATTTTATATGTACTGTAATACAAGGTATGACTATAGTTTCAAAATCAAACTTCTGTAGTCTTGTGATCTAGTAGAAAGATTTTATCTCAATCATAGTCAGATGACTATTGGGTTTAAGGATTTGAAGTTGGGGTGGAATTTGAAATTATCTTTAGTTACTTATGTTCATTTCTGTGATCTCATCCATTGAATTATAAACTGATCTTGTAAATCTTTTCTGTAGGAAATTTTGGGAACGGTTTATTGCCCTGTGTCATGAAAACAATAGCCTACATGGAATCACTTTCGAACAGATCAAGGCCCAGTTAGAGGCTTTAGAGCTAAAGAAGACATACGTGTTGAATCCGCTGGCACCTGAATTTATCCCCCGGGCTCTAAGACTGCAGCATTCAGGAAGTACCAACAAACAGCAGCAATCACCACCCAAGGTAAAGCCTCTGTTAATGAAATTGAAGAGGTTAAAGGGAGAAAACTGCGCAGAAGTGCCAAAGGTTTATTGGGCTGCAAGTTACTTTAAGTGTTGGAATTGAAGGTTACATTTGGCGGCAAGCGGTTTCTGCAAGGAACTTGTTTAGTGTGGACATGTAAGTGAAAATACAGTGTGGCATTTAGTCATGCTTAATGTTATAATCATTCTCAAAACAATTTTTAATACCTGATAACTTTTGATATCATTTATGTAAAATAACCTCCTAATCATCTTTACTGATAAGAGTTGTTTTAGTGAGATGTGAATAAAACAAAGAAGTTTAAAAGATTATCACACTTATTAAAACATGTCCTTACATTCTTTATAAGGAATAATGTTATAATAATGATATTTATATAAAGAAAATAATTCTGAACCTTTACTGATGACCGATTCGTTTGAGGTGGTATTTGACAGAGTAAAAAAATTTGGCTGACTTCTTGAAGATGACTGTAATTGATTTTGACCCATATTTCTTGTATAGAAGCATTCTAGTCAGAGGAAGTGGAGCAGGGGAGTCAAGGCCATTTCCACTTTTGAACTGTAGTTACTTTGGACAGAGACACCTGGCTTCTTTGCTAGAGTGCCTGAAAAAAATGCTTGCACTTACCGTCTAGAAAAAAAAGTTCTGAGACTGGCATGTTTAGTATTTGTTCCGTTTTGTTTTGTTTTGTTTTGTTTTAATATTTATAATCATCAGCATATTAAAGTTACCAGTAAGAATTAAAAGAGTATATCAGTTTTGCACTTCCTTTAAAAAATGTAAATCTTTTTTTTTTTTAGACAGGGTCTCTGTCACCCAGGCTGGAGTGCAGTGGCACAATCTGGGCTCACTGCAGCCTCCACCTCCTAGGCTCAAGCAGTCCTCCTGCCTCAGCCTCTGGAGTAGCTGGGACTACAGGTGCATACCACCACGCCTGGCTAACTTTTGTATTTTTTGTAGAGACAGGGTTTAGCATGTTGCCCAGGCTGGTCTCAAACTGCTGGGCTCAGGGGATCTGCATGCCTTGGCCTCCCAAAGTGCTGGGATTAAAGGCATGAGCCACTGCACCAGGGCAAAAAATGTAAATCTTAATGTGTAAGCAGTAATTAATGGTTTGATACTTTGAAAATCTTTTAGCTAAATAGTTACTCCGCTGAGAAGAGAACTATTCTCTGTGTTAATATACTGTTGTACATTCTTAGTTTAATAAAAATGGACCTAATGTGCAATACTACTTGTGATTTGGCATCTTTAGGGTATCACACATTCTACATAAATGAATCTTGTAGATTTCTCAAGCTTATACTATTAATGTATTAGCTGTTTATTTATCAGTTAAGTTACTTCTATGTGCCTGATGTTATTGTAGGTGCTAAAGGAGCACAGATAAGCAAGTTAGCCCCTGAGTTCTCCTGTGGCCATGTTGGAGGAGTGAGAGGAAGTAGATAGATTCAAGCAAATGTCTACCAAGGAGATCTTGTTCAGAAGTTTATTGGATGGGTGGAGGTAGTGGGAGATTGGGGAAACATGTCAAAAACTGGAAGATAAGCTCAGTTAAGGCAGAGATTTTTGCCTGTATTATTTGCTGCTCTCACCTCTGTGCCTAGAGCAAAATCTGACTCATAATAGGTACTTAGAAGTAGTTTTTAAATGAATGAGTAAAGCTTAAGAGAGCTTTTACAAAAGACTCATGGTATGAGAGAACAGGGGACATGACTTTCATACATAGCTAGCTCTAGCTTACTGCTACATCATTATTACTATTATTATTTTTTGAGACAGAGTCTTGCTCTGTCGCCCAGGCTGGAGTGCAATGGGGCGATGCGATCTTGACTTACTGCAGCCTCTGCCTCCCGGGTTCAGGCGATTCTCCTGCCTCAGCCTCCCAACTAGCTGGGACTACAGGCAAGCGCCACCATGCCCGGTAATTTTGTGTGTGTGTGTGTGTGTGTGTGTGTGTGTGTGTTTTAGTAGGACGGGGTTTCGCCACATTGGCCAGGCTGGTCTCAAACTCCTGACCTCAAGGGATCCGCCTGCCTTGGCCTGCCAAAGTGCTGGGATTACAGACTTGAGCACTGTGTCTAGCCTGCTACATTATTATTTTGTTAATAAGCTACCAAACACTGTGTATTTTATGTAAACTAAGTAAATTTACTGTTCTATGGTTTCTTGCTGAGTCAAAATACAAAATACAGTGACTGGAGGATTGTATCCTGTATTGAACCATGTAGAATGCTGAGTTATACTTGTAGACATGCCACTATCTTTTTACTCCATAGGCCCCAATTTGCTTTTTTTATTTAGTATACTACACAGCACCCATCGTGCTGATGTATATTGTCTAGTGTGCTTCCAGCTTTACAATATAGGATTACCCTAGATTATGGTTATTATTTTTTTATTAGTTTCCTATTGCTACTGTAATGAATAAGCACAAACATAGTGACTTAACACAAATAGATTACTTGACAATTTTATGAGTCGGATGTCTGAACTGGCTTGGTTGGTTTATTTGCTCTGGGCTTCTCAGGGCCAGCATCAAGGTATTAGCTTTCTGGGTCCTTATCTGGAAGCTCTGGAAAGAATCTGCTTCCAAGATCATGCAGGTTGTTGGTAGAATCCAATTCCCTGTGGTTATAGGACTGATATTCTTGTTTCCTTGGTGACTGTCAGCTGGGAATCATTCTTAACTTCTAGAGGCTTCTTACCAGTTCGCAACTGTGTCCCCTACATCTCAGAGCCAGCACTGGTACATTGAGTCCTCCTTTCCCTGGGAATCTCTCTTACTTCCTCTTCCACTGCATCTCCCTTATTCCAGCCAGAGAAATTTCTCTGCTTTTAGGACTCATGGGATTAGATTGGGCTCACCCACATAATCCAGGATAATCTCCCTATTTTAAATCTGTAACTTTAATTAATATTCACAAAGTCCCTTTTGCCACATAACATATTCACAGGATCCAGGGATTAGGATGTGGGCCTCTTTACAGGGGCCATTCTGCCTGTCACACTCTGATTAAATTGCTGTGTTTCTTCTACATGCTATGCAGTTGTCCCTGGTTGTTGAGTCATTAGCAAATTAGTGATAGGTCTGGAGGATAAGAAATCTAAATGGTTTGTCAGCCTTTTGGAACTGTCTTATCTGCTGTTTGTGTCACTGGCTCTCCTTTCTTCTGTCAGTGTGTGTGCTACTGGCGCTCTTGTCTCTTCTAATTGCTCCTGCTTCTCATCTTCTACTTCTGCCATCTTGATTTTGCCTTTTTTTCCTTTTTTCTATATGCTTTTCTTATCACTTCTCTATTCCTCAGAAGTTTATATATATATATATATATATAGTTGGTGCCAGTCACTGTGAACATTCTTTCTCTTGAGGTTAATGGACAAACTGTGATTTTTTTGGGGGTCTTTTTCTGACTTCATGAGGCTTTTTGATGACTTTGTGACTTCAGTTGCCCTTCCTCACTCATAACCAATTGACCTTAAACCTTCTGTGTTTACTGCTGATCTGAGTATTTGCTCTTTCCAACAGTTAGATAGGTAGGTAAATCAAACATCCTTGTGTTTTTGCTTTGGTCAAGAATGAATTTTTCTTCCTGCTGTAGACATAATCCCCTCTTTAGTTTTCAGGTATAATTTACAAATTTACAAATCTGTGTGTGTCTAAAGGTAAGTTGCATAATGTTCTACTTTTCCTCAGTTGGCTTGATATGTATTACTTTTAGCCCATGGGAAGAGAGAATTTTGTTTTTAATCCAGAAATTCAGAACCATTGTCTCTTCAAATATTGTTTCTGCCCATTTGTCATCATTTTTAATGGTAGACTAAATATACCATTATGTGAATTTGCTATTGCTTATTTAGTAAATCCTGCACTGATGGGCATGTAGATTGTTAACATTTATTATGCACATAAACCAAGCTCTCTGTGCCCAAATTTATGATTACTTCATTTGGATAAATTTCTGGAAGTGCGGTTACTGGGTTAACATATGTACATTTTTGATGCTGTTGATACGTATTGCCATATTGCTGTCTAGCAATTAGCTAGATTATCTCACAAGCAAATGATGACAGTTCCCCTTTTCCTGTTTTTGTTTTGTTAAAGTAAATTTTATACTTTAATGTACCATGAATTATACTCAAAATATCATAAATCCTAAGCCATATTTGCATTCTTTTTACTGTTTTAAAGGTTCTCATCCTCAAGAATTGAAGATTCACATTTTTACTTTGAAAAACAACTTCTGCGTTTTGTGATTTGTTAGAAAATGTATAGAGAAACTGCAGTTCTGTTCCTTCAAAGGAATAGAATTTAAGTCATGTTGATTGCATATTTCATTTTAATGAAAAATATTCATAAAGAAGGAATTTTAGATACCTTTAATTTGAAACTGAGAAAACTTGAGGCCCATCCGTGTTATTTGAGATGGCTGTGACCTAATGTTTAAAAAGAAAATTGGCTCAAAGCAGTCTAATGGTTATTAATTATAGACTCACAGTTTTAAAATTTTAATTATTGGTGTATACGTTAATTTACCTATGATTAGGAAAATCGTTATTGTTTTCTAATATTAAATGTGCTTAAATTATTATACATTTGTGTTTTTCTTTAAAGGGGAAAAGTCTTCATCATACCCAGAATGATCACTTCCAGAATGATGGAATTGGTAAGTGGAAAAATTACCTTACGAAAACTTGCTTTTCTGATGTAAGAGATTTCCCCCAAATTTCACCACAAGAAAGAGGAGAATGGGGAGATGGTTTCTCTGTCTTTCTCTCTCTCTTTCTGGCAGACACACACACACACACACGCACACACGCAGTCACTTTGGAACCTCTCTTAATTCTTTTATTCAACACTTAGGGTTTTATCAGTGCATTGATCTGTTATTTCTGAAAAGGGGTGATTTTGTAGGTGTTCATGTACATATCCAGAAGTTTTGAGGAAAAACATTTAAGCCTTTTATGCAACATAAGTTTTCAGAAAATAATTATATTCTACACATGTCAGGTCATAAAAGTTTCAAGGTAAAAAATTTACTTAAATGATTTTAAATATTGCATAGTTGTGCTTTTAAAATAACAATTCCTTAACTTCCATATTGTATGTTGTTCTGTTACAATTGCCAGTCAAAACTTTATTCTGAAGAGTTGTATACTTTTTTGGACAGAAGACTGTTTACTAGGAATGTGTGCATAGCTTTCTCTCTTGAAAGACTCATCCTGAGTTCCTCAGAAAATATTTGAAATTATGCTAGTTTATACAAGGAATGCTTTGTATAATTCAAGTTAATTTTAGGAAGCATTATAAAAGTTTCTTTGTTTTTTTTTTGTAATATGCTTTACTTTTCCACACTGATAATTCTTTGATGATAAGATATCTTAGGCAAATCTGGGAAACATATTTCGCTGTTGAATGATTTAAATTATTTTTTCTAGATGACTATGTACAGCTATTGAGTGCATCCTTTGTCTGTTTATTTTTCAGTTCAGCCCAATCCTTCCGTACTCATTGGCAATCCTATTAGAGCATATACTCCTCCACCCCCTCTTGGACCTCACCCAAATTTGGGAAAATCTCCAAGCCCTGTTCAAAGAATAGATCCTCACACTGGGACAAGTATTCTTTATGTACCTGCTGTCTATGGAGGGAATGTAGTTATGTCGGTGCCTTTACCTGTAAGTGGACATTCAAAATACTTTCTATTGAATCAAGTAAAATAGGTTTCACTAAAATGATGCTAATCCCAAATAGTATTCTACCAACTTCTGTTTTAAAAAAAATTTTCAGTGCTCCTAAGCTTCTTTTAAAGCAAATGTTGCCTCTAACCTTCAAATTGTGAATTGTTGCTTACAATTCATTATTAGGTTACTAGTGACTATGAAGAAATTATATTTCAACTTAGAAACCTTGTAATTTTTTGTTTTGTTTTGTGTTTTTGAGATGGAGTTTTGTTCTTGTTGCCCAGGCTGGAGTGCAATGGTGCAATCTTGACTCACTGCAACCTTTGCCTCCTGGGTTCAAGCGATTCTCCTGCCTCAGCCTCCCAAGTAGCTGGGATTACAGGCATGCACCATCATGCCTGGCTAATTTTTTGTATTGGTACAGACAGGGTTTCACCATGTTGGTCAGGCTGGTCTCAAACTCCTGACCTCAGGTGATCCACCCACCTTGGCCTCCCAAAGTGCTGGGATTACGGGCATGAGCCACTGCGCCCGGCCACCTTTGTAATCTTTTAAAATATTTCATTGAAGAAAATTGAGCTAAAAGTTAACGGAGCTAATGAATTGGTCTCATTTTGTAAAGTGATGTTTTCATTTTATATATAAGTCAAAAACTGTTCCTAAGAAATACAGGACACAGAGAGGCTTGGATTAGTGTAGTTCACTTGGATCTAAATTGATTTGAGAAATTCCACATCTTATGAAATCTTAATTACTACTTAAAAACATTATTCTTTGTAAGACTATAGATTTTTAGAGGCCTCCCGTCTTGTATATAAACCCATTTTCACTTTCTTTAGAATTTTTGAATATTTTGTTAATTTGCTGATGTGAGTATTTTCACTTCAGGAGTTTTAGCCTAGGAAACAATTTCTTTCATTTAAGGCAAGCACTAATTTCGGGCTGAGATGATCATTGCCAAAGGTTTTTGGCAACACTCCAGAATGGGAAAATGCTAAGCTGCAAACATTTCTCAGCCATGTTGGTCAGGATAGTTCACAATCTGACAGCCAAGGAGAATGACTGTAAATGAGAAATATGTAATTCATGCCCACTCCCCATAGACTTCAGACTTTGGATTTTAGCAGAGTTATTTCTCCAGACAGCCTGGCAACATTGTACATGATCTGCTTTAAATAGTAAGTCCCTTAGGATTTATATTTCACTTTATTAGGTTAACGAGGCTTCTATTTTGTAAGATTTCTGAGAGTTTACACTTAACAGTTATAATAAAATAATAGGAGCAGTAGTTAAGATGTCATTGTATTTATTCCTTTTATGTTAATATGCAGAGATTATATATCTAGACACACTTAAACAAGTTTTCTGTTTTTGTATTTTAAGATAGAGTTGAATTAAAGGCACAGATTAAAAAGTAATGACCCATTTGAATTTTACCTATAATAGATGAACATTAAATGATGTGGTTACTCATCTTAAGTTGGAATACCAAATTTTTTGAGTTGAGACTCCTTAGGCTAAGTTCTTCCTTAACTTTTCCCCTGTCTATTAAACTATGTTTCTGTGCAATTATGACTTTATAAGATAATTTTTGTGGTAATCTGACATGTATACATTCCTATGGAGGGGAAATAAGTAAATACTATAAAATGATTTAATGCCTCAAGGAATAATTACCAATTTTAAACCCTCAGTTTCTTCCTAATCTGAAAAATGATCTGTTTTCCATTACATACTAAAGGTTCAGGGAGCTGTTTTTTAGCCAGTTAAGACACAGTTGTTACTATTAGCATCAACTTTGTAGTTATTTATTTTGAAAAAATTAACATCTCTGTGTGTGTGTGCACGTATGTATGTCTTTGTATGTTTGCTTTTTCCTAATTAGTAGCACTCTATTAGTTTGTCTTCCAAAATATACTTAATGCATGTATTTTATTTTTTAATAACCTAGGTACCATGGACAGGATACCAGGGTAGGTTTGCAGTTGATCCTCGAATCATTACACATCAGGCAGCAATGGCCTATAACATGAACCTGTTACAGACACATGGACGAGGATCTCCTATTCCTTATGGCCTTGGACATCACCCACCTGTCAGCATAGGCCAGCCACAAAATCAGCATCAGGAGAAGGATCAACATGAGCAAAATCGAAATGGTAAGTTGTGCTTTGTTGTTCTCCTGTTCCTAAACTGATGACATGTAAAGTTTTAGCCACATAGAAAGTTCCATTAACAGTATGATTGTTAACTTTCTCATGGATTATAGAACTCTTTGAGAGAGAATCTACCAGCACTTTGGGAGGCTGAGGCGGGCAGATCACGAGGTCAGGAGACTAAGACCATCCTGGCTAACACGGTGAAACCCCGTCTCTACTAAAAATACAAAAAACTTAGCTGGGCATGGTGGCGGGCGCCTCTGGTCCCAGCTACTCGGGAGACTGAGGCAGGAGAATGGCGTGAACCCGGGTGGCAGAGCTTGCAGTGAGCCGAGATCGCGCCACTGCCCTCCAGCCTGGGCGACAGAGCAAGACTCCATCTCAAAAAAGGAAAAAAAAAGAAAAGAGAGAGAATCTAATATATAAACTTTGGATCCGCTCTCCAGAAGATACAAATTATGTACACAGATAGAAAATTGAGATGTAACCTCAGAGTGTCCTTTAGGTTAAATCCTACCACTTACGATTGGTGTCACTGAGTTTCTGAAAAAAATATTAAATTTGAATATTTAGAGTACTTTAAAGTGGTAGTCATTTAAAATTGAGATGGAAGGTCCTGTTAAACATTTTTGTTAACTCGAAATATTTTTGTGGTATACTACGCATTAATGTTGTGGGATTGTTGATAAAAGGTTATTTTTACTACAAATCTGCTAGAATTTCAAGGAAAACTTACCATATTTTTTATTCAAGTTTATTGAGGTATGAGTTAAATACAGTAAAATTCATCCTGTTAAAACGTACATTGATGAATTTTAACAAATATCCAGAGTTGTTAACTTCCACCAAAATCAAGATACAGGATATTTACATATTTACAAAAAGTTTCTTCCCACCCTTTGCAGTCCCATCCTCCAACCCCCAACCCTGAGCAACCGCTGATCTGACTTTTGTCCCATACTCTCTAGTATGTCATAAAAATGGAATTCTATAATGTATAATTTTTTTGTGTGCAGCATTGTTCACTTAGCTTAATGCTTTTGCTATTCCCCCAGATTATATGTTTCAGTTGTTTGTTCCTTTTTACTGTTAGTATTCAGTTGTATGGATGTACTGCAATATGTTTATTCATCCCTCAGTTGATATACATATTAGTTGCATCTAATTTTTGGCCCTTATGAATAGAGCTGCAGTGAACATATGTGTGAACATGTGTTTTTATTTCCGTTGGGTAAATACCTAGGAGTGAGATTGCTGGGCATATTATAAATATATATTTAACTTTATAAGAAACTGCCATATTATTTTTCAAAAGTAGCTGAACCATTTTTCATTTTTACTAGTAATGTATGAGATTTCCAGTTGTCCCATGTTCTCATTTGCATGTGCTATGGTCAGTCTTTTTTTTTAAATTGTACTCTTGTTAGTGGATATCTAATCATATCTCATTGTGGTATTAATTTACATGTTTGCATATCCCTAATAATGGGTGATGTTGAGTATCTTTTTATTGTGCTTATTTGCCATGTGTGTATCTTGTTTGATGAAACCTCTATTTATATCTATTGCCCACTTTTTTATTGGGTCGATTGTCTCCAGTTTAAAGAGTTCTTTATACATTCTGTTTACTAATCTTTAATGAGATATATATTTAGAAAATATTTTCTCCCAGGATATGGCTTGCGCTTTTTTTTTTTTTTTTTTTTTTTGCCTTTTAAAGACAGAGTCTTGCTATGTTGCCCAGTCAGACCTTGAACTCCCGGGCTCAAGAGATTCTCTCACCTCAGCCTCCTGAGTATCTGGGACTACAGGCACATGCCACTGTGTCTAGCTTTCATTTTCTTAACAGTATCTTTCAAAGAGCAGCAGCTTTTATTTTTGTTGAAGTCCATTGTATCCATTTTTTCTTCTGTGGATCATGTTTTGGGTGTTGTGTCTTAAATATATCTAACCCAAGATCTTCTTTTATGTTTTCTTCTAGAAGTTTTATAGTTTTTAGCTCTTACATTAATTAGGTCCATTTTGAGTTAAATTTTATATATAGTGTAAGGGTAAGGACTGAGATTTTGTTGTTGTTATTTTGTTTTGGTTTTGCATGTGTACGTTCAGTGATTCCAGCACTATTTGTTGAAAACTCTGTCCTTCCTTCATTGAACTGCCTTGGAACCTTTGTTGAAAATCAGTTGATCCTATGTGTGGATCCTTTTTATTAATGCATATGTTTATGTTTACACCAAATATGCTGTCTTGATTATTACAGCTTTGTAAAAGTCTTTAAATCAGGTGTAAGTCCTCCAACATTGTTCTTTTTCAAAATTGTCTATTCCAGGTCTTTTGCATTTCCATATATTTTAGAATCATCTTGTCAATTCCTACTTAGCCTTCTGGGATTTGGATTGGCATTGTGTTTAATCTTTAGGTCATTTTGGGGAGAATTAACATCTTAACATACTGATTCTTCTGATCTTTGAACAGAGTATATGTCTCCATTTTTTTCTGTTAGGTCTTTATTTTTTTTTCAGTATTAAAAAACGTTTTCAGGCTGAGCACAGTGGCTCATGCCTGTAATTCCAGCATTTGGGAGGCAAAGGTGGGCAGATTACCTGAAATCAGGAGTTAGAGACCAGGCGTGGCCAACACGGAGAAACCCTGTCTGTACTAAAAATATAAAAATGATCCGGGCATGGTGGTGCACGCCTGTAATCCCAGGTACTTGAGAGGCTGAGGCAGGAGAATCGCTTGAACCTGGGAGGCAGAGGTTGCAGTGAGCCAAGATCACGCCACTGCACTCCAGCCTGGGTGACAGAGCAAGACTCCGTCTCAAAAAAAAAAAAAAAAAAAAAAAAAAGGGTTTCGGTATATACAGTCTTTGCACATATTTTGTTAAAGTGAAAGCTTAAATGAATATTAGTATTTGATTTATAATTTTCTTCTTCAGTAATATGTTCCACAAATACCAGTATGTTGTATTTTTATTTTCATTTAGTTCAGTATATTTCCTAATTTTTCTTGAAATCCTACCCATGGATTATTTAGAAAGGTGTTTTAGTTGCTGATTATTGGTGATGTTCTAGAAATTTTTCTGTTACTGATTTGTACTTTAATTCCATTGTGTTAAGAGAACATATTTTGTATGACTTGAATGCTTTTGAATGAGATTTGTTTCACAGCCCAGAATATGGTTTATTTTGGTAAATGTTCAGTGTGTACTTGAAAAGAATAGATTGCTCTGTAAATGTTAATTGGGGGCTGGGCATGGTGACTCATGCCTGTAATCCCAGCCCTTTGGGAGGCTGAGGTGGGCGGATCACCTGAGGTCAGGAATTTGAGACCAGCCTGGCTAACATGGTGAAACCCATCTCTACTAAAAATACAATATTAGCCGGATGTGGTGCGCACATCTGTAATCCCAGCTACTCGGGAGGCTGAGGCAGAAGAATTGCTTGAACCCAGGAGGTGGAGATTTCAGTGAGCCGAGATCGTGCCATTGCCTCCAGCCTGGGCAACAAGAGCGAAACTCTGTTTGAAAAAAGAAAAAAAAATGTTAATCAGGTCAAGTTGGTTGGTAGAGTTGTTCAGGTCCATTGTATCGTTGCTGATTCTATTCTTTCCATCAATTACTGAGGAGGGATATTGAAATCTCCCAATATAATTGCTATTTGTCTGATTTTCAGTTTTCAGGTTTCTAAGTTCTATCAGTTCTGAATGAATTTTGAAGTTCTATTATTAGAAGATAAATGTTTAGTATTGTGTGCTCTTGATTAATTAACTCATTTATCATTGTGGAATGACCTTCTTTGTCCCTGAAAATATTCTCTGGTTTGAGATCTACTTTGCGTAATATCAGTGTAGCCTCTTCAGCTTTCTCTTATCAAGTGATAGCATGGTGTGCGTGTGTGTATGTGTATGTGTACATGTATGTGTATGTGTATGTATATTTTTACCTTTTAATCTGTTTGTGTCTTTATATTTAACATTTGTTTATTTTAGATAACATATAGGTGGCTCTTGATTTTTTTAAATCTAATGTGACAATCTCTGCCTTTTAATTGGGGTGTTTAGACCATTTACTTTTAGTGTGATTGTTGATATAGTTAAATTTGATTCTATCATCTTGCTATTTGTTTTCAATTTGTCCAATTGATTTTTTCCCCTTCTCCTTTTATTCTGCCCTCTTCTGGATTGGGAGAGTATTTTTTTTTTAATGACTCCTTTTTGTCTCCATTGGCTTAACAGTGACAACTCTTTGTTTTATTATTTTGCTAGTTGCTTTAGGGTTTATAGTATAAATCTTTAATCTTGACAGATTACTTTCCAATTTATATTTTACCACTGCATTTACAGTAAAGGAAGCTTAAAGTATGCTGTTTTTTCTCTCCTGGCCTGTATGCTATTGTTGTCATGTATTTTACTTTTACATATAAGTCCCCAAAACATTATTGTTATCTTTGTTTAAACAGCCAAGTAAAAGAGTTTTAAATCATAAGAAAAATAATCTTAAGTATTTACCCATGTGTTACCATTTCTAGTAATTTTTCTTTCTGTATATTGATGTTTCCAGCTGATACAAGTTTTCTTCTGCCTGAAAGACTTTTAGTGCATTTCTTACAGTGCAGGTCTGCTGATGATGAGTTCTTTCAGCTTTTGTATGCCTGAACGTGTCTTTATTTCGCTTTCATTTTTAAAAGATGTTTTTGTAGGGTGGAGAATTCTTGGTTGGCAGTTTTTATCATTTGGTACTTTAATGGTGGTGTTCTACCATTTTCTCACTTGCTTTTTTTCCAGTGAGAAATCTGATGCCATCGTTATCCTTGTTTTTCTGTATGTAACAAGTCTTTTTCTCCCTAGCTGCTTCATAGATTTTCTTTTTATATTGGTTTTATCAGTTTGATTATGACATGGCTTGATGTAGTTTTCTTCCTGTTTCTTGTGTTCAAGGTTTGTTGAGTTTCTCAGATCTCTGAGTTTATAGTTTTTATCAAGTTTGTAAAATTTTAACCTTTATATCTTTTCGGATATTTTTTTCTGTGTTGCCCCTACCACTGTTCTTCAGAGATTCTAATTACCCATATATTGGGATGCTTAAAGTTTTTGCACAGTTTATGGGTGCTACTTTTTAAAAAATTTTTTTCTCTATGTTTCATTTTGGATAATTTCTATTCCTATGCCTTCAAATTTGCCAGATTTTTCTTCTGTAGTGTCTATTCTGCTGGTAATTCCATTCAATGTATTCTTCATCTCAGATACTGTAGTTTTCATTTCTTGAAGCTTAATGGTAGGGTAATTCTGGAGCGATAATTCATTTTACAAAGTTCCAGTGGCGTTCCAAAAAGAATGTTTCTGAACAAGAACCTAAATCCAGGATTCCTTCAAGGAACTTAAACTATCCATTGGTTAATTCTTTTGTAAATTAAAAGCATTTCCCATGTATGAGTTGTCTATTATAACTGTGCTTTTTTAAAACCTTAATTTTGCCTCCTCTACTATTTCTCACCCACTTATACTCAGTTTGATATCTACTAATTTTAAACAGTATAACTACATTCCTTTCTGAATATCTTTATTACATTTAGATTCCTTTACTAAATTGGATTGAGGCGTTATTTAGATTTTCGCTTAATTGCATTTATAAGTGACCAAAGCATTGAACCTTTATAAATAGGCAAGAATGCCAAGGCCTTTAATACACCTAGTTTAAGCAAATGAGGCTGTAATTCCTGGAGACTGGGTAGTTTCCTTTGGGATTATTTGATGCTTTGAGGTTATTCGCTTATTAGGCTTTGTCTTGTCAATGAAGTTTGCTTCATTTATAAGTTTACTTTCTTACAGAGAAACTATGACTGACAATTTAAGAACAAAACCCAAGTAGTCATACACTGATCATAATAGGTGAAAAGTGTTTAAAGTATTCTGCCTCTTTCTCTAATATTGGATAAGCCTTGGAAATGTCATATCCACTGGAGAAAACTTATAAGGATTTTTAAATATTTTCTTAGGTAAAAGTGATACAAATAATTCCGGACCTGAAATTACTAAGATTCGAACACCAGAGAAAAAGCCAACAGAACCAAAACAGGTATGCTGCTTAGTGACTGCATTGTTCTAGTGGATTTAGTCTGATTGGTCATCTTGGAATCTTGATGTTTTAAAGAAAAATACCTCCATTTGTACCCTTATCCTTTATGTTTATTTTTTCACAGGGATATAGTGAGCCATATTGCCCTCTCTTTCTTCATCTCTTCTTTGGCTGTGCTATTTCATGTATCAGTATACTTTTCTCAAATTCTGTTACTCAGTGATAAAGTTGAATTTAGAGATTTTCTATGATAAGGTAGTAAATGAAGACAGAGCTACAGGTGTGTTATTACAAGTGTGTCATTATCGTGAAGAAGGAAAACTTCTTCCTTGGAGACAGGAAGACTTCCTCAGGTCCCTCACCTTATTCTCTCATCATACCCACTAAGCCCTTAATTCTTTATCTGTCCATTCATCTATTTTCTCTGCTTCTGTGCTTATAAACTACTTAGAGAAAATCAAGTCACTGGTTGAATTAGCGCCACTGGAAGTTCTTGTTTTCTAATCTGAATGGACCCCTCAGGGCTCTCCTTCATTTCTTTCACACATATCTCACTTGCTTTGCCCAGTTGTCTCAGTGACTCTTCTCAAGCCTGATTACCTTCCACATTCTGTTACCTTATTGGATGGCTTGTCTTAGACTTACCTCATCAGGATTTTCTCTTGTTAATTTGTAACCTTAAATTTAGCACTTTTACCATAGCCCTGAGCACCCTTACTTCCTGATCACCAGTCTCAGAAGAAGAGTTCCTGTTAAGATTAATCTTTCCTCTGCTGGGCGTGGTGGCTCACGCCTGTAATCCCAACACTTTGGGAGGCCAAGACGGGTGGATCACTAGGTCAGGAGATCAAGACTACCCTGGCTAACAAGGTGAAACCCCGTCTCTACTAAAATACAAAAAAATTAGTTGGGCGTGGTGGCGGGCGCCTGTAGTCCCAGCCACTCAGGAGGCTGAGGCAGGAGAATGGCGTGAACCCGGGAGGCGGAGCTTGCAGTGAGCTGAGATCGTGCCAGCCTGGGCGACAGAGTGAGACTCTTTCTCAAAAAAAAAAAAAAAAAAAAAAAAAGATTAATCTCTCCTCTTCAGGTACCACATAGACCTTGTCCCTTCTCCTCATTTATCTTTCCATTCTTTCTAGTTGTTGGTTCTTCCCTGTTAGCCTATAGCATATTTAGATCTCTTTTAGCCTAAAGTAAGCAAATTACTTGATAGACTTTTTTTAAAAAGATAATTTCTTTAACCTTCATCTCCTTTATAGCTACTACCTCATTTCTCCTTCCTCACCTGTTATTTGCTCTTTAACCCACAAAGTCTACATTTCACTGAAACTATTGTGCTCTTACGAACATACTTCAAATGTATTCTTACTTGGCTTTTCTTGGTATTAGGCACTATTTTTTACTTCTGTCTTTGACCATCTTGTTTCTTTTGTTTTCTTTGACACATTTTTACTTTTCACTGTCTCTCTAACATGACCTCTTTTTTAAAAAGTTCCTGCTCAGCCTCCCGCAACATCTGTCCCTAGTCCTTAAGTTGGGATTTCCCAGAGTTCTGTCCTTATCCCATCTGTCTTGCATTCTATGGTTTCTAAACCAGTCCGAACCATAATTTTAAGTATCCACTTCATGATACCGACTTCCAAATCTGTATCTCCAACCTCAGCCTAGTTTTATTTAAGCAGCTATTCTCTTTATTCATTTACTTATATCACATAAGCATCTCTTTACTCACAGCTTCTATATCTGGAAGGATTCAGTACCTTCTGGAGGGGCTGCAGTACAAATGAGGCAGCCAAGGGAACCTCCTGATAGATAAGCGGGGGCTGCAGTGAAAGCAGAAGTGGTATGTGTTTGGGAAGTGGTGCAGAGAGAGAATGAGTGGCATGTCAAGCTGGTGCACCTGCACCAGCAGCACATATAGTCAGAGGCAACTTTGGGACGAAACCAATCACACGAGTCTTAGATGCTCTCAGAACAACTGAAGCCAAGATAGCTAAGTGTCTCTCATGTCCTCGTTTTAAAATTTCTGTTAGAATTCTCTCTGTTAGAGAACTAGGCAACCTGAAAACATGTTTCATTTTCTCTCCCACCCTGATGCTTTGTCTTGAGGCCCAGGAAAAATAAAAGAACTAGTCCTGGCTCTTTCGACTCAGTGCCTCCTCAGTATTAAGAGGAAAATGATAGAGGAGAATCTGATTCTGATAGTAGCAGATGCAGGCTTATTCAGCCCTTACCGTCCTCTACCTTCCTTAGGGAGCCGATTGTAGTATTATAGAGTAGCACAGTCCTGAGACACAGACCTAGCTTCCTTTCTATGTCAAGGTCAGAAGTGATAGAGACAATTAAGATAGCAGCTTATTCATAAACAACCTTAACATCTGATTATGACCTCCCTCATGTGACCAGAGTATGCATATCAACAATATCTTCTGGAAAAAAAGTATATCCCAGGTGAATATAATTTTAGTCGTTGAAAGGATGGAGATTTATGGAGGAAAATGTTTGTTTATGAAGAACCTTAATGAGGTTCTGAGACATCTGAAGAGCAGGCATTGCATACTTGGGAAGACCGAGATAGAATTGTCATGCTTCTCACTTCTTTTTCTAGATAATTTGTATATACTAAGTAATTTTAAGAGCCTAAAATTGGCCAAATTTAATGGCAATCCATTTGAGCTAGATGATTACAGATGAGGATGCAATTGGCACACAATTTGCATCGCGAGCATTTGTTGCAACAGGTTGGTCACCAAATGTACCCCAACTGCAGTTCAAAAACAAGCTACTTGTTCTGTTTTTTGGTAGTGGTCAGTTCTGTGTCTAATTTAAGAGCCTTGGGTGAGGCAAGCGCTGTGCAATCCTCAGTCACTAGCTCATCAGTGAAACTTATAAGGAGATTGACGTGCCAAATTTATTTACACTCCAAGCAATGCATGGAGTGTTTTGAGAGAGCTGGAAAAAGAAAATCGTCGCTTTCCATCTTATATTTTATTTTTCACATTATCATCACTTATGATCAAACTTACATTTCAGAAGGATGACAACACTCCCCAGCTTAAAAACCTTTTGTAGTTACCACAGTTTATGGCATTAAAAACAGTTACTCAGAATTGAATAATTCAGGGTCTCGTGTGATTGGGCTCTTGTAGTTTCCTCTGATGTTAAAAAGGGAAAACTAATATATAAACAAGTGAAGTTATAGCTCCGCGTACACAAAACTTCCCATGCTCTCCAAATCTGCCAGACTTTTCCTTTCTTCAGCCTTTGCATAAACTGTTACCTTTACCTGGAATGTCCTTCCCTCCTCGGAATATTCCACCTCTTTTTATAAGATTCAACTCAAATGTCTTGACCTCTGTGAAACCTTCCTTAATTTTCTCAGGCACTACAGTTGCATCCTCTTATAGTACCTCTAGTGATATGTTTACATATTGTTATCTTCTACTGGACTGTAGGCCAGGGGTCAGCAACCTTCTTCTGTAAAAAGCCAGACAGTAAATCTTAGCCTTGGGGACCACATGGTCTCTGTTGCAGCTGCTGTGCTCTATCGTTACAGTGCACAAGCAGCTACAGACAATATGTAAATAAATGAATGTAGCTGTGTTCCAAGAAAACCTTATTTACAAAATCTGGTGAGCTGGAAATGGCATTGGAGTGGGGGCATGGTATATAGACCCCTGCACTAGGCTGTTGATGGGTAGGCTGTCTTATTATTGCCTATTTAATTTCCAACACCAGGCACAGTGTATTGGTTGGCCACAATAAATGTTAAAGAAAGAATGTCAATATGTAATGGAAAAATTGACAACCAAACTAGTTATATACAAAAGTGGTATAGTACTTGTTTGTTCATTTCAAAGTTGTTTAAATTGAGATGCACCTTTTTATTAACATAGATATTTTTAAGGAAATAGATGTATAAAAACAATAAAATCAGTCTGGGTGCAGTGGCTCACGCTTGTAATCCTAGCACTTTGGGAGGCCGAGGCAGGCAGATCACCTGAGGTCAGGAGCTTGAGACCAGGTCTGGCCAACGTGGCGAAACTCCATCTCTACTAAAAATACAAAAATTAGTTGGGTGTAGTGGCGCATGCCTGTAATCCCAGCTACTTGGGAGGCTGAGGCAGGAGAATTGCTTGAATCCAGGAGGCAGAGATTGCAGTGAGCCACGATGGTGCCACTGCACTCCAGCCTGGGAGACAGAATGAGACTCTGTCTCCAAGAAAAAAAAAAAAAAAAAAAAAAAAAAAAAAAAAAAAAAAAAACACCATAAAATCAGAAGGAAAACACATTTTAATGATTTATATCAGAATGAAATAAATGACCATCTTTCTAAGGAAGAAAGTGTGAAATTAAAAATAATGCCCTGAAAGGAATTAAAGTAGATATGCTAATAAAATGGCAGTATGTTTTCTTATGACTCACATTTAATATGCTGTTTTTTTCTGTGTCATCTTTTTAAATTTAAAAAAATTTTCCTTTATTTAATTGTGAGGAAGTAAATAATTGAGCACTCAGCTCTCCTGCTGGAAGATATCAATGTATCATATCCTTTAGATGTGTTAGGGTTGGGAAAAGGTGGAGAGCAACTGAATTCGAATCTTCTGCAGTTAAAAAAGGCTTCTTATTTTTTTCTAGGTTGATTTGGAATCAAATCCACAGAACAGAAGTCCTGAATCACGTCCTAGTGTTGTTTATCCCAGTACCAAATTTCCTCGCAAAGATAATCTCAACCCAAGACACATAAATCTTCCCCTTCCTGCTCCCCACGCACAGTATGCAATCCCTAATCGCCATTTTCATCCCCTTCCCCAGCTACCAAGACCACCCTTTCCAATTCCACAGCAGCACACCTTGTTAAATCAGCAGCAGAATAATTTGCCTGAACAAGCAAATCAGATGCCACCTCAGCCAAATCAGGTAGTCCAGCAGCAAAGTCAGTTGAATCAGCAGCCTCAGCAGCCACCTCCTCAGCTTTCTCCTGCATATCAGGCAGGACCCAACAATGCTTTTTTTAATAATGCAGTTGCTCATCGGCCACAGTCTCCTCCTGCAGAGGCTGTGATTTCGGAGCAGCAGCCCCCTCCCATGCTGCAAGAAGGCCACAGTCCTCTGAGAGCCATTACACAACCCGGCCCCATTCTTCCTTCGCATCTGAATAGCTTCATTGATGAGAACCCCCCAGGATTACCTATAGGGGAGGCTTTAGGTAAGTTCTATTATCGCCAGATGTGAAAATTCAGAGATTAGTTACTTAAAATGACATGGACTGTATGTACAGTATCATTTTGGGTTCAGATTGAATCATTTCTTCAAATAATGCTAGCAAAAACCCCCCGTTTAGTGTGATAATCAGAAATTAGTTCTAAATGCTGTATGATAGTATCCAGTGGATGTCAGGATCATCATTATGTAAGTCGTCATCATCACCATAACTGATTTCTGGCAAATATAGAAAACATTTACTTCTTACTAAAACCAAATTTGTAGCTCTTTCTTTGTCTTTGTGGAGAAAATATGTTAGTAAAAACTTTAAATAATGAACTTGAAACCCCAAATTCATAAAAAAAGTTTTCACAAATATTTTTGCAGATCGTATACATGGGAGCGTCGCTCTGGAAACATTAAGACAGCAGCAGGCACGGTTCCAGCAATGGAGTGAGCATCATGCCTTTCTCAGTCAGGGCAGCGTTCCATACCCACACCATCACCATCCTCACCTCCAGCATCTTCCTCAGCCGCCCCTGGGATTACATCAGCCGCCAGTGCGGGCAGACTGGAAGCTCACCAGCAGTGCCGAAGATGAAGTGGAGACCACATACTCAAGGTATTCCAGCCGACTGAAAATAGCCTCTGGAATGCGACCCCCTCACTGTTCTCTTTTTTGACTGTAGTCCTTTTAGCTTCAAGCTGGAATATTGCCTCAGAGAAATTGGATGCTGGCCTTCTAAGCACATGCTACACAGTCCTCTTGATTGGCTCTAAAATACAGAAAACTCATTTAGAAGTAACTCTTGTACAAATTTAGGCATGGATGATCTACTCTGGGTTGGAAATTAACTTGTTCCCTTGCTTTGTGGTCTTTTCTGCAGGAGAAACACCATCGCTGTGAGCAGGTTTTTTTATTTAGTAGTAATACTTGCAAAGAATGAATAAAGACAGGAGTAAATTCATGGTTAAAAGCTAAAAATTATATCATTAATTATTTTTCTGGTGGCACAGAATTCTACATTCCTATAATTCCAGCTACATGTGAGTGAGTGGTCCTAACTGTAAGGTTGTTTTTATGGCCAGTGTCACATGAATGCTCTGACGTGTTTCCTAATCCCTTCTGAACAAGGTCCACCATCATGGTGACCTTTTATAACTTCCAGTTGTCAAAGACATATAGAGACAAGGATATGTTTTTAATACAGTGGGAACAGAAAGAAATCAGGTAATTGAGCATATTTAATGTCTTCATCTCAGCATCTATTGAGTGCTAATGCTTATATCTGAGATGAATTAATGCCAGTTCTAGTTATTAGTACTATGATTTTGTTCGTTGAAAATACATGTATAGTTGACTAAGCTTTCCTTAATGTGATGGAGCCTTTTGTTTTCTCCTCATATTTTATTGTTTTCTTGTAGGTTTCAAGACTTAATCAGAGAACTGTCTCATCGTGATCAAAGTGAAACACGGGAACTAGCTGAAATGCCACCACCTCAATCAAGACTTTTGCAATATAGACAAGTACAGACTAGAAGCCCACCAGCAGTCCCATCTCCCCCATCCAGTACAGACCACAGTAGCCACTTTTCTAACTTTAATGATAACAGCAGAGACATTGAAGTAGCCAGCAACCCAGCATTTCCGCAGCGCCTCCCACCCCAGATATTCAGCTCACCTTTCTCATTGCCATCTGAACACCTTGCCCCTCCTCCCTTGAAATACCTGGCACCTGATGGAGCATGGACTTTTGCTAACTTGCAACAGAATCACCTAATGGGGCCAGGTTTTCCCTATGGCCTACCTCCATTGCCTCACAGGCCACCGCAGAACCCTTTTGTACAAATACAGAATCATCAACATGCTATTGGTCAAGAGCCATTTCACCCATTGTCATCTCGAACAGTATCTTCTTCTTCGCTCCCTAGCTTAGAAGAGGTAAATGTCTTCTTATTTTCCTTTTGTTATTAGTTGATTGTGTGTGAAAAATATCAGTATTTATTGATTGATGATAGGAAGGCACAGATCTTATTGAATGTAATAGTGTATTAAAGATAATCCTTTCTTGGGAATTATTTTAATCCTATTGTATTTCAGATTTTGTAAAATGGACACTACTGTTGAAACATGAAGCCCCTTAAAAGTCTTTTATTACTGTTTACAGAAAATACTGAATATCTGAGGACTCTATTCAAGGAGCTTTGTCTTTTTTTAATCTGAGGAAATGGCTTTTAGTGATTCATCTTTTTGCTTTAAGTTACATGTGTTAATTATACATTTGTTAACGAGAGCTTTCCAAAGATGCTGGCTTTTCAGCCAGTGCCAGCTCCAAGTTCTGTGCTCCTTCTCCTGCCACTCAGCCTGGTGCTTTGTTAGACTGAGGTACTCTGATTCCCAAATATCAGAATTTGCGGATTTTTAACATAAAATTGACTCTGCTAAACTAAGCATTTTAAGGTAAACTGAATTTTATCTTAAAATACTTAGATATTTCTGCTGGGCACAGTGGCTCAGGCCTGTAATCCCAGCACTTTGGGAGGCCGGGGTGGGTGGATCACGAGGTCAGGAGATCGAGACCATCCTGGCTAACACAGTGAAACCCCGTCTCTACTAAAAATAGGAAAAATTAGCCGGGCGTGGTGGCAGGCGCCTGTAGTCCCAGCTACTCGGGAGGCTGAGGCAGGAGAATGGCGTGAACCTGGGAGGCGGAGCTTGCAGTGAGCCAAGATGTGCCACTGCACGCCAGCCTGGGCGACAGAACGAGACTCTGTCTCAAAATAAAATAAAATAAAATAGTTAGATATTTCTAAAGAGCATCTTCATGGACTTTTATTGCTATGAAAAACGTAGTAATTCCAGGTTATAAAACTTCCAAAGCAGTACCGTGTGGTGTAGGCTATAAAAATGTCTAGCTGATCCCATTAAATTTGCCGTGATTAAAGATAAGAATGTGTAAAGCTGGTTGTAGTCATATCAGACAGAGACATAAATCGGGATAAACATTTCTAATTTTTATATATGAAAAATACTTTTTTGATATTAGCTTCATTTTGGCAGTTTCAGAATGATATCTAAAGGCCATTAAAAATAATCGATTCACATTTTACAAGTTGTCTGCTATAGATGCTAATTAAAAGTCAAGATTCATAGGGAAAACTGTATGTCTTATTTGTAGGGATTTAGAGGCAGTCTCTTCAAATTGTCCCAGTATTCATTGATTGGTTCATTCTGCATAGCTGTCATTAAAACAACTTACTGCGATTTTAGGCTCTTAAAGTAAATTAGAAGCATAATAAAGATGAATTGGTATCTATCTACATATATGTATTGTCAGGATCTAGAATTTTGGAACCATACTTTACAAAAATTTGGTACACATCTGACAGTCTTTCAGATTATAATGAACAGTAGTTTTACAACTGAGCAGTAATGTAATTTTCAGTTAAGTGGTGTTTTAGCTATTTATAATAAAATTCACATGAAATACACCATTTTAGCCATTTTAGATTGTACAATTGGTGGATTTTAGTATATTCACAATGTTATACAGTCATCACTACTGTCTAATTCTAGGACATTTCATCACCCATAAAAGAAACCCCATAACTGTTAAGCAGTTACACCCCGATTTCCCCACTCTCAGTGTCTAGTAATCCCCAGTCTACTTTCTGTGTCTATGGAGACATTTCATAAAAATTGAATCATACATTATGTGGCCTTTTATATCTGGCTTTTGAAGTGCATCCACACTGTAACCTAGGAGTGGAGTTCTTGGGTGATGTAGTAAGTCTATGTTTAACCTTTTGAGGAACTGCAAACTGTGTTCTCTGTACATTTATATTCCCACAGCTATGTATGAGGATTCCAATTTATATACTCGCTTTGTAAAAAAATTATAACCATCCTAATGGGTGTGTAGTAGGATCTCATTGTAGTGTTTTTGTTTGTTTGTTTGTTTTTTGACACGGAGTCTTACTCTTTCACCCAGACTGAACGCAGTGGCGCGATCTTGGCTCACTGCAACCTCCGCCTTCTAGGTTCAAGCAATTCTCTTGCTTCAGCCTCCTGAGTAGCTGGGACTACTGGCGCCCACCACCACACCCAGCTAATTTTTTTTTATTTTATTTTTTTTAAATTTTTAGTAGAGACGGAGTTTCACGATATTGGCCAGGCTGGTCTCAAACTCCTGACCTCTGGTGATCCATCCTCAGCCTCCCAAAGTGCTGGGATTGCAGGCATGAGCCACCGCACCCAGCCCTCGTTGTAGTTTTGATTTGCATTTCCGTAATTACTGATGATGTTGATATCTTTGCATGTGCTTCTTGGTCATTTGTATCTTTTTGGGGGAGAAATGTCTATTCATATAAGAGTTTTTAAAATATATATTCTGGTACAGACTCTTAATCTGATATATGATTTGCAATTATTTCTCTCACTCTGTGGGTTGTCTTTTCACTTTCTTGATAGTGTCCTTTGATGCTAAACTACAATTTATCAGTTTTTTCTTTGGCTGCTTATGCTTTTGGTGTCATATCCAAGAAACCCTGGCCTAATCCAAGATCGCAAAGATTAACTTTTACATTTCCTTTTTATAGTTTTATAGTTTTACCTCTTACACTTGGTTCTTAGTTCTTTGGTCCATTTTGAGTTAATTTTTGTATATTGTGTGAGGTGGGTATCAAATTCAGTCTTTTGCATGTGGCCAGTTTTCTCAGCATTGTTTTTGAAAAGACTCTTCTTTCCCGCATTGAATAGTCTTGGCAACATTGTCAAAAATCAGTTGACTGTAGATGCCGGGTTTATTTCTGGATTCTCCATTGTATTCCATTTATCTGTGTGTCTTTCTGCCAGTACCACACTGTATTGTACACTGTAGTATTGTAGTAAGTTTTGGAATTGGAAGTATGAGTCCTTATATTTTGTTCTTTTGGAAGATTGTTTTGTTTATTCTGGGTTCCTTGAATTTTTTCATGGGAAGTTTAGGATCAGCTTGCCAATTTCTGCAGAAAAAAAGCCAGCTGACATTTAAAGAAAGAATTGCTTTAAATCTGTAGATTAATTTGGGGAGTATTGCCACCTTAACAATATTAAGTCTTCGAGTACCTGAACATGGGACATCTTTCTGTTTGTTCAAGTCTCTTAAAATTTCTTTTGACAGTATTTTATAATTTTCCAAGTATAAGTCTTGCACTTCCTTTGTTAAATTTATTCCTAAGCATTTTATTCTTTTTCATGCTATCATAAGTGGAATTGTTTTCTTAATTTCATTTTTGGATTGTTCATTATTAGTGTTTAAAAACACGATGGTATATTGATAGTGTGTCTGCAATCTTGCTGAACTCTATTAAGTAATAGATTTTTTTGTAGATATCTTAGGTTTTTTTAATATGGAAGATAATGTCATCTACAAGTAAAAATAGTTTCATTCTTCCTTTCCAATCTGGATGCCTTTTATTTCTTCTTCTTGCTTAATTCTTGATTGTTTTTCTGATTGCTGCAAGCTTCTACTTAGGTTTCTAGGTTCCTAAAAAATGGATTATTACAGCTTTTGCCAATTTTTTTCTGTTTTTATGGAGGACTGGACTTTGGAGTTCCTCACTCTGCTGTTCTCGCTGATATCACTTATGATGTTTTTATTTAACCTGCCAAACGAGTTCATAATATGAGGGGGAACTGTGCGCCAAAGTTTTTATAGGTTTTATGAAGTTTTGTACTTTACTAAATAATACTTCATATTGAATAATCTACTTTAGTCATTGATCTTTTTAAATGGGCCTTAATTTTGGAATTTAAGTTTTTTGTACCTTGGTGCGCTTAATGTTTGATATTTCTGTTGTCTCTGTGTGTGTGTGTGAATAAGCACCTTTCCTTGTCAGTGGGTTCTTAGAGTGAAATTTACTTTTGCAAAAATATTTGGTTAGTTTTATTTTGATGCATGAGATTCACAAATGAGTGATTCACTTACAACACTGAAAAATTTATTTGACAAAGATAATTGTTTTTAGCACATTGCAGATTTTCACATTTTCGGTGTATTAGGGTAACTTTGGTTTGTTCAAAATGCTTTTGCATGAATCATCTCACAAAGTGAATGATTGATGTGCTTGCTGTTTATTTCCAACCTTTTAAAATAATTTCTTTAACGTTAACAACAGAGAAAAAAGTCTTTTCCCTCCCACTATGGATTCTTTTATTCCCAGAAAACTTAGTAGATTAATCTTGTGGGATGATATCTGGATGTTAGTTAACAGTTCACTTAAATGGAGATGGTTGGTTACATTATGTTTCACTTGTTTTTTCTCTTTATAGTAATTTTGATTTTCTTGTGACAAATGAAATACATGGCCAGCACAGAAAATGTAGAAGTTAGAGAAATTATTTATAATTTCACTATACAAAGATACCTACTATAACGTTTAGCCTTTCCTAGCATTTATAGATGTGAATGTATGATCCAGTAATGGAGGGAGATTATTTGTTGGGGAAACTTGAAACAATTTATCTCTGCCGTTCCTGCAATTGCTGTGCCCACCTATATCATCACTGATTGGGATCTTGGTCCCATTCTGTAACATTTTTTGCTACTTTCAATTTTTAGACTATTCTCGTGTAGATAATTAAGGCTTAACTCCATGGGTTTTCTTTCCCCACCTCAAATGCAGCAAAAGCCATAGTCCTTGGCTACTTGGCTAAGGCTGGACACTGTGGTCTGGCAGTACTGCCTGCATCCTTTCCCACTTCCGGTCCTTACAGGTATGATGGGATGAGGAGGACAACAAAGGGCAAAATGCCATCTCCTCCTGAGCCAGGCAGTAGACCATCCCTGATTGCCAGTAGATTAATAAATTGCTCCAATTTGATCTTAAATGCCAGTGTAAGCTTGGGATTAGGGTTTACATTTTCTCCAGACGTTTAGCCAGTTGTCTTCCTGTCTTTTT